ACCATACATGACCGTTAGCTTATGGGTTGCTAGCAGAGCAGTGTCAGAGATGTGTATTTGGTTTTCAGCTGATAAACCTGAGAGAACAGAGAATGTGGTTGACGTCTAACTTTAACCATTATCCTCCTCTTTCTCCTGGTCTAACAACACAGGTGAGGGAGATGTGTGCGCTTCCTCTGCAGCTAGTTTCGTGTCGCTCTTCAGCCCTGTAGCACGTCACCATATTCGGGGAGATGCAGTCACAGCTACAGGATCTGATTCAAATCCTTCTAATAATTAAACCTCTTCCATGTTTTGTATTTCACTCAGTCAATATGTCACATTACTGAAGCTAAAGTTTCTATAACTGATGTTTAACTGTACCTTTTAAGCCCGACGGACCTGGTACCAGGCTCTATCAAAAAGTTGATAGAACGCTGTGGTGGTCTCTTTTTTTAATGCTTCTCAAAGACGAGGCTTTGATGCTGCCAAAACAACAGTCCAAGTGTATTTAGTCCAAAGAATATTTGTTTCTGTTTCAAAATAAGACCCCTATCAAAGTAAACGGACAGTTGAAATAAAACGCGGCGGTACATGTAATCCCTCCACCATGCTGGGTGTGGTATGAAACAAGAGAAGCTACTCTTTCCATTGATAGCAAGCAAAGCGTAGCCTGAGCTAACCAGCTCATGTCAGCCCAAAAGCAAACACGGGACCAAACTTCTCATTTTATATTCCAACATATCCCAAAACGGTTCTATTCAAAAGCAAGGGATATTGTTTCCTTACTATTTTGCGGTAATGATAACAGAGACTGAGCCCCAAGACTGAATTTCATGCATGGTCTTTTGTTGCCATCTAGCACGTTTGGTGGTACTGCTACTTTCGAATGGTCTGTCACTCCTATGAGACTTGCTTCCTTGCAATACTACACTCGTGCGTAAGTACAAGAAAGTTTTACCGCAGATTGGGATTTTACGCGTGACGCACAGCCGATTGAACTTTTATTGCATTGTTAACTTTGTATATAGTATGTTTTATGTTTATTTTTCACTTTTACAATGTCTACGAAGTAGAATCAACATAAAATAGCAATTTAGAGGAAGATATTCAGAGGCAAAACGGAGACAAAATTTTGTTGTTTATTACACACAATGGTTGTGCACAATGGTAGAATCTGATGATGCACAGGGTAAATGAAGTGGCTACGGGTTGTATTGTGTGTGCACATAGCCTCCTGTAGTGGAAATCATTAGTATTTTGTGGCCAAATTTCCTTTCAAGAGGTAAAAAAAAAACCCCTTTGTCACATTTTGAGTACCTTGGCTATCGAAGTGTCCAAATGGAGAGTCTACCTGGCCCCATCCCTACTAAAACCTTTGTAGAATTTGTGTGCTTTGTGGTATTTCTACCTACCCAGTGCATGGGACCATTGTTATCATGGTGTTATCCACTGTCTAGGCCTAGGCGAGGCATACCCTCCAGCATCCCTAGGGCTTAAGAGGTTAATGACCATCCTGGGGGGAACTTCGTGTTGGGGGTCCTCGCCTATTTGCTGCTACCAGCCTGAACCATTAAGAGCTGCCCCACCCACTTCTAACTGGTTCCAGTCTCCAGAAATATATATATATTTAGATGTTACAGCAAAAAATATGAAGTTAGTCCTGAGGATGACTCTAGAGGAAAGCATGAATTTACTCAGCAAATGTAATGTCATTCTGAGAGTTATCTTAAATGTTCCTAACATACCAGAGGGTGTGGCCTGAGGAAAGGTCAGAGGGTCACCAAAACACTCAGCATCATCCTCTTGAAATCCGGAACATACATGCCAGCTGTGATCCAGTTACACTAAACTACTACACCCTGGTTCTATTATTAGCATGTGGGGATGAGAGATCACACCGGGGATTCTCTTTGAAAGTCTTACAACATTACGCACAGCTACGACTCACACTATTGCACTGTCACTGGTGAGCCATCCAAAGAAGCACTTTACAAACATTTAGGGGCTGATGAGTAATTTCTCTGAGGTGTATTTAAATACACCTCTAATCTCTCTAATCATCTGTTGACACATTTATTAAGGAAGTTATACAAAGTGTAATATGGCAAGACTTTCTGCCTCTGCCTAGTATCAGTCAGAGTTTAGTGATGTGGTTCCAGTGTGATAAAGCCACAGGTAGAGCCTCCCTCTGAGCACATGTGTAGGGCGGTGCTGCTCTGAGGGACTGAACTCTTCCCTGAAACCAGTTGGTAAAGGTTATGGTCATAGGATTGGGCGATATCCAAAATTTAATGTCTTGATACAGACGAGCCTAAATATCTCAATATAAAATATTATCACAGGAGGGTGGGGGCATAATATAATTATGTAATTATGTATTTTATGCATAGACTGTAAATAAAGACCCACAGGTTTCTGAGAAGCGGTTTTGACGCTCAGACTGAGCTGCTTTACCGTCGCCATCTTGGCAGTGCCTGACTCCACCCCTAACTCCCAGCTAATCCAAAAATGGGCGAAGAAGGGGCGTGTGGAGCTGACACTTTGGCGTATATGCTCACCCTGTCACTCAAACAGGCCACGCCCTCAATTATCATAACTTTAAGCGTTAATAAAATGTAAACAGGTGAGTTATATAAACAGGTGTCATGAAGGAGGAAATTAGATCTAGAGACCAAAACTGTGTTTGTACCAGGCTGTAAACTTGTTTATTTCTGCTGTAAAGTTGGACATTTTAACATGGGAGTCTATGGGGATTGACTCACTGTTGGAGGCAGACTCTGGTGGTCATTAGAGGAACTGCAGGAGGTTGATGCTTGATTTTATGCTTCAGATGTTTTTTTTTGGTTTTACATAATTATATTATTGTATTTCATGTTACAGGTGTAAATTACAGAAGTGGATCAGGGCCACATGTGAAATTCTTCTTTTTCTTTTTTTTTAGAATTCTAATCTCTTCTGTAATAAGTGAGGCTGCCATTAAACAGCATTTCAACACTTTATTTGTAACATGCAAAGGTACAATGTATGGTGAGAAAAGCAGTGAAAAGAGGGTCTGCAGTTGGGCAGACTCTGCTAAACTGCGCTAAACTGCGAAATATTTAGATTTTGTGAAAAACAATTTGCATATGGCAGGAAATACTGCAATATTCGATATTATCGAACATCAACTCATGCGTATTGATTACTATATTCTACTGTTCATGTATGACTAGAGGCCTGCCTTTGTATGGTCAGAATAAAGTAGCTGTGTTGGTATCTGCATTCAGTCGTTGTCTGTCGGCTCTCTCAGCTAACTAGCCATCCTCGGACATGTTAAGCACATGCTAACTGCTTTCTCTCTCTTCACCAACACCAACCCACATCAGTCTGCACTATTTTGCACATAAAGAAAGAGTCAGTTATTAGTTTTTAGCCTTTGTGATGTGTTTTTGCTTTGTTGAATTTAGTACAGTAATTGTTATGACCCACTGTGGGGTTTGACTCACTGAGGAACTGAGCTCTAGTGTAACTGTTTCTCATAGAGGGAGTTCATTTCTCAGAAATTCAAATTTTAACTGTCAAGCAACAAATACAACGTGATGACTAAGCATGATCACGCAACAACATGAAAAGAGAAGGCAGCTAAAGGAACACCCACTCTAACAGCCCATGGATAAAGCAACTACGCTGGTAAAATGCTGAGTTTGCCAATCAACTTCCACATTCAAAAACAGAAACAGTTTCCCAGACTGTATGCTTCAGCTCTGTGAGGGTGAACATCCAGAATTACTGATCCACTTTATTTTCAAGTCCTTCTCAGCAGATGAGAGCTGTATTGTAGTTGTATTGCTGAGTTTTAAGAGCAGATGATGAAACAGAAAAACAGTTTTGTTGTCACAGAGCGTTCATAATTTATCACAGATAGCCCGTACTTTATCCTACGGAGGATCATTCTGCTTTATTACACCTTGGTCCTTTTTTGACTGTAACTAAACTCACAGCTTTAACCACTGAGACCTTGAGATGTTGGTGCATCACTAAAGAGAAGTCAGACAGGTCAAGAAACACAAGCAGCAAGATCATCAGATGGGCTGAAAACAAACCCCAAAGTATATGTTGTGAAATTCCATCACACACCAACTGCCATATTACATGTATTACCCACAATCCCATAATCAATGCCTACACAGTTTGCAGAGTCCTGACGTTACCTCCACTCTTTCACCAGCTTCTGTAACAAACTTGTGCAAACTCAAAGAAATCACAGATGCCAGTTCTTACTCACATCAACACAACTTTTTCTTCCACGTTCCTGACTTCCAGCGCTCTCTTCACACCTTGTGCTGCTCCATGTCCTGCTGTTACTACAGACGTGTCTGAACAAGCCCAATCTGCCTCGCCTCGCCCCGCCAATGCACTCACCTCACAGTGGTTTCAGGTTTATGGGGATGGGGTCTGTTAAAGGCTATATAATCCCTATCTATACGAACATATGGTTATGTCCCAAGATTTGTAGTAATTTGTATTACAAGTGTGAAACAGGACCCAGAAGTCCCAGTTTCTCTCCAGACTGGTTTAGAGCATCAGGCTTGTTCACACCTGACTACTGGTGTTTCCTGTCAGTCTTCCCGGATCTCAGCGATGACTGGTGAGTACAGCGTTACAACACATAGAAAAGTCATCACACAAAATCACCCAAACAAACTGAGAGTAGCTTTAACTGTGGCCTCATCACACATTACTGGAACTTATAATCATCCACATGAAACAGTCACGAGTGTTTGCTGCCATTTCCTCCCATTAGACATCTCTATTTATAGAAACTTTCCCAACACACAGGTTTGCATAAGTGCTTGAAATGAAAATACACTAAATGTACTGATTGCACACATGATGGAATAGATGAAGGTTTTTGCAAGAGTGAGTGAGTGAGAGTGAGTGTGTGTGTGTGTGTGTGTGTGTGTGTGTGTGTGTGTGTGTGTGTGTGTGTGTGTGTGTGTGTGTGTGTGTGTGTGTGTGTGTGTCTGGTGGTCAGTCCATTAGCTCAGCAGTTCAAGGTAGGTGACGGGTACTTTGCCCTTTTCGTTTCCCCGTTCTCCAACCAACCAATCAGGGTCCATCCCAGGTACGGTGTACACAGTGATCAGCTGGAGAGAGAGAGAAAAAAAAACATGACATGAAAGTATAAAAAAAAAAGAAATAGCCTCTAGATATAGATAGATATAGAGGGAAAGGGAAAGGGAAATGGTGTGTTGTTCATCATGGTCACATTTGCATCATCTCCCTCCTCTGACTCTTAATCCAAGTGTGTGTGTGTGTGTGTGTGTGAGGTAGTGTTTTGTTTATTTTCTTGAGCTGGTGGTTCTCTCTGTGTCATGTTCCTTATCTGCCTCCACTTCCTCCGTTTAGTCATTTTCCAAAGAGACCGGGGCAAGGTCACAACTAGGGCACGCTGCAGAAGGCAGCAGGTCTGGCAGCCTGACAGCAGCATTACACACTCTGATAATTACACTACTACATTTCTTCTGTTGTCCTTCTTTTCACTGCCAACAGAGCAGCTTCTCCCCTCCTGGGCTGCTGTATTATCTGCCTGGTTCTTCAACAATAAGCATGGCAGGAACTCAGCGGTACGGTGGCCCTGAAGACTGAAAAAGCATTGCAACTTAAGAAAACACATGCAGTGATAACCCCAGCACCATGGGTTCGAGTCCGACCTATGGCCCTTTGCTACAAGTTATCCTCCCTCTCTCTCTCTCTTTCTCTCTCTCCCTGACTTTCTTTCAAGAATAACTAAAAAAAAAGTCCTGAACCAGCTGCTCAAGACAGCAGGGTCTGACTCCTGAACTGCTCTTGGAATGGAACATTATGTGTAATGAATATTGAGTATGTTGGGAAAGGCCCCAGTCCTCTAAGACCCTGCATAAAAAAGCAGATGTAGAAAACAGATCGATGGATCAGCCACATGACCATGAGTATCTGATGTTTTTTTTATTTCTAGCCTAAAGGCAATGAAATATGTGAGTAGCTGTCCAACACTGTGCCAGTCACACAGTCTCTGTTTGTGAGTCAGACAAAGGTCCTCATATAACACAGATGTGAGTGTGGGGTGAGTCAGAACATCCAACCGTACCTCATCAGCCAAGAGGGACAGCTCACTGACATCGTGGGCGTCGTAGTCATACAGAACCTTGGCCTTTCTGGTGCCAGTAACAGGGAATGGAGTCTGCTCCATTGCAAGCGTGCTGGGCTTTTGGCTGGAGGAGGAGGAAGAGACCGTGGCGCCAGGAGGTGGTGGTCCTGACAGGAAAGCAGCTGAGACGGGGCTGGGGCAGACAGCAGCGGAGGAGTTGGGGGCGCCAACAGCGTTGGCATGTCTGTATGAAAGTGTGGAAGACAAATGAAGGCCATGAGCTGTTGAAGCTCTCCAGACTGTTTATTTGAGGCTGATATGTTTTGTGGCCAAGACATGAAGAGGGATCAGATCCAGATGTGTATTAAAGGTTTGATGCTGATGTTTCATGATTTTGTGTCGCTGCTGCAGCGACTGCCGCCTCCACCCATACAAGGGAAGACAGATCTGGAGGCTTTGCTTATCTTTTGTCTGTACATGAATTTTACATCCTCTTGATAATAATCACATTTATTTCTCATCTTTTGAACTTGAACACTGACTTGCGGATTCTCTGCCCTCTGAACCATCACTGAGTCCGACACAACCGCTTTTGTAAGATTGTACTTATGCAATGCTGTGCTCTGAGCTTAATGCTAATGTCAGTGTGCTAATATGCTCATAGTGACAGTGCTAACATGCTGATGTTTTACAGGTCATGTTCACCATCTTAAGTTAGCCTATTAGCATGCACTAGCACTAAACACATACCAAAAATGTCAACCTCATGGTGACGCAAGAGGAGGTCAGAGGATCCAAATCAAACCAATCTAACCAGGGACTACAAACAGGTTAATGTGGCCAAGATGATTGATGATATTGAGAGAACATATTCAAACTGATTCACAGATTCACTCCTACTTTAAGTTATGAATGAGGCGCTTTTTTTCTCTGTTTACATTCATTAGTGCCACGGGTGCTCAGCTCCGAGGCACTCCTCTACAGCTAGAATAGCTGTAGAGTAAGCTTCCTTCGGGCTTATTATTATTCTTCCGCCAAATTTTGGCGCGTAACTCGTCCCGCAGCTTTGAGAAAACCCCGGTAATATATACATCAAAACGTGCGTCTTGATCCCGAAAGAGGTGCTATGACTTTTGGGGTTAAAATTCCAATTTTTCCCAAAGTTATTCCCAAAATACTGGGAATAAATAATGCATTAGGAATGCATTGGAATTTTCTTTAGAAACCCACAAAATTTCACCTTTTTTCTACAAAATTTCACCTTTTTTCATCTCTTAAACCACTTCAGTTCTGCTCAAACCTACCAAATGTTTATTAGTTTTCAGGATTTTAACCCTTTAAATGCCAGTTTGAAGACATGTTGCCTCTTGTTTTATTAAAAACAACAACACAGAATATGAGATATTTCCCACATAATACATGATGGAGGGATGTGACATTGTTTTATATCAGAGTCTTTTATATCAAGACATTTCTCAAAACCAGAATGTGATCAGGGTGGCTTTTGAACACTGGAAATAAATCATGTACTCATCCCGGCAGCAGCCCCCGCGGCACTTAAAATTTCCCTGGAATTTTCTAGTTTCCATTGCTATTATGCCAGGTTTGACTTTAACTTGTACAGACAAATAAAACTAAACTCAATGAGTCGAATTTATTTTGCAAAATGTAATTACAACTGGAGCATCTTGTTTTTCAGTTATGTTTGCTACACTTGTTGGTCAGCTCACAGGTCTTTCTTATTTGATATATATGAAAATAACTAGAGGAAATAATACTGTGGGTATTTTACATTGTTTTTTTTGGGGGGGGGGGGGCTTTTATGCCTTTATTGACAGTACAGGAAACGAGGAGGCAGAGAGAGGGGGAATGACATGCAGCTAAGGACTGTCCGATGCAGGACTCAAACCGGGGCCAACTGCAGCGAGGACCTTAGCCTCTGCACATGGGGCGGATGCTCAACCAACTGAGCTACTCAACGCCCCAATAGTTTACATTGTTGAATAAAAATGAATGAAAATAAGTTGAGAGGTAGCTGGTGATGCATCAATAATGTAACGGCGTCAGTGAGCAGTGCTGGTTTTAGGATTAATGTGTGGTAATATTCATGAACCCCCCTTTCCCTCTGGTCCACAGCCCGACCTAGAAACATCTGCATTTGTTTAGACAAAAGGCCAGAGTCTCATTTCCCAACAACCGTCAGACTGCAAAGTGCTTTCTAAGTGGAGTGATTCTAATTCTAGTAAATATTTACACACACATGGCTGTACAAAGCCCCACGGTAATGAAAAGGTTAATGGATTGAATTTCAAACTAGTTAAACTGTCTGAAAGATATTTCATATGTAGAAATCACATTGGGATTAAGTCATTAAACTGTCCCTTCAGGTTTCTCTTAAAAGGTATAATATGTAACTTTTCACCCGGTCGTCTGTCAATAGCCTCATATCCCCTTTGCATGAGTGCTGTTATCTTAAGTGTTATACTATATTTAAAACATCTTGATTGTCTGCCAAAGACAACTGTGTGGAGGATAAACACAGGTGTGCTGCGCTGCCCTATTCACAGATGTAAAAACAGTTTGGCCCACAACGACAGAAGAACTGAAGATCTGTCTAGAGCACATTGATAATCGAACAGTCAGTTTGACTATATTGTGGAAATCAGCCAAAGCTTTTCTCAGAGGAAGAAATACACTTTCTACACAAACTGCTCTAAAGTGAAGCCTGATCTGGATGCTAAACTCAGGGACTTGGATCTGCATCATAGCTCTACTAAACATCCAGCTGCCTTTGTTTTTACAAATTAGATGTATTAAACAGCAAACAGATTGAGAAGAAAATAAGATTCGTAAAACAAAGATATGATGCTAGTCCAAAATCAGCAAAACTATTAGCCTGGAGGCTCTGCAAGCAAAAGGCAGACAGCTCAGTTTATAAAGTCAGGGACTCTACAATAAATAAATAAACACCCAAACTAAAAGGAATCCAGAAACACTACAAACCACTACACACATAACCAGAGAGGCTGGGGAAAAAAAAAACTGAACAGCTCTTAAATTCACTGGACTTTCTTTCTCCATTGAACTTCCACCAGAACTGTAACGGTCATTACCCTGGCTAATTAAAACCTGCCTCACTCTATGATGGGATGTGTCTCAAGGCCTTTATTTCTATAATACCAGAGGACGTCAATGATAAGATGGAGAGTCTTGAGTACAGGTTATAAAGTGGAGGCATCGATTCTGTCTAAGGGTGTTTTCACACCTGCTCTTTTTAGTCCAGTTAACCCGAACCCTGGTTAGTTGTCACCCTTGGTGTGATTCGTTTGGAGAGGTGTAAAAACAGTCATCGCGTTCGGGTGCAGACCAAAACAATCGCACCGAGACCCTTTTGGTTGGTCAGGGTCCGTTCCCAAACAAATTCTGGAGCGGTTCATTTGTGGTGTGAATGAGTTCTGAACTCAATCTGACCCGACCGGCAGGAGAACTCACAAGTGTGAGCCAGACGGTTACTGCAATCTTCTTCCTGTGTTTACTTTCCTGCTCCAGTCAGAAAATCTGACCAATAAGTGGAGTGAACATTCTCACATGGTTTGTAGTAATATATTTTGGTTCACTTGAATTTTTCTCTTTGTGAAAGCAAACCAAACCAAGCTACAAGTTTACAAACTTATCAACTGAATCGGACCAGAGCAAATGAACATTAGGTGTGAAAACAATCTAAGAAGATGGAAGGTGAAAGTTGCAGGATATAGATGAAACTGGGTTTGTAAAAAAACAGCCCATGATAATACACAAAGAGGACTCCATATCATTGATTATATCTATATCTATAAATAAAAACTGTGCAATTCGAAACTGACTAGGCCTACTAGGCCTGAGAACTTGGCCTACTTTCAGTCCTGACACATTAACCATATCTCATCAGTAACATGAATTAACTTTTTTCCCATATTAGAACTAATGATGTCTGCACTCTGCACTGTTTCACCTGTCCTCACGATTCTCTTCCCTGTGAACACTTGTGAAATAATCTGTGATTTGAGACATTTCTGCAAAAAAAAAAAACATACACAATGGGATGTTACGTTAATTTAGGGAAACTTTTCAAGAAGCTGGGTGTGCTCAGATGTAAAACAGATAATATTTATCTGTAGGATTGCCACCTTTTTTTCACATAAAAGGTGGCAACTGGTGTGATTTTACTTGACATTACATTATTCACAGCACTTTGGGGACATAACATGAACGAAAAATATGGGACAAATTGCGTCCCATATTGATTCAAATCCACAGAGTACCTAGAAAAGAAGTAGTAGAATTTTGGCGGGAGGTGGAGGTAGCGCTTTATTTTCAAATATGGGATGATCCTGTATTATACGGGACGACTGGCAACCCTATTCACCTGTTTGAAGAGCCGCGAAATCAGGTCGCTGCCTCCTTCCACAGGCAGAAAATCCAGCGCGTTCGTATTCTTCTTCTTCGGCAATTTCAGGTGGCTCTGCTTGATGCACGGATTACGATACAGTGCCACTACATTGCTGTAGCGGCGTACAGCCGCAATTGCAGTTACAAACGTCAAATCCACCGAGTACTGAGAAAACAAGTACTAGAAATTTGCCAGGAGGCGGAGTCGGCACAAAATTTGACCGAGGCGGCCGCCTCCCAATTGTCTATGCAGGAAAAAACCCTGAAGATAAACATTAACGGCAGTTTCTCTAATTCTATAGTGATACAGTGAGGGTGCAGACAGGGCATTAGCGTCTCTATTCTCTTTACTGAACCTCTGGCCAGATCAGGAAACAGGAAAGAGGTATGAAGGGTTCAACTATAGGGGGAGTAGAATACAAAGTCTGCCTGTATGCAGATGATGTAGTGGTGTCACTACAAAACCCAGATTCAGGGCTACCTCTGCTAAAGAATATTCTTAAGATGCGTCGGAGTTACTCTCAATATTTAACTATGTCCCCACCCAAGAACTGGCAAACGAGTATAATTTCAATTGGCATTTCCCATCTATTCAGTACCTAGGGGTCTACATACCAAAAGATATGTCTACCCTGTATATCATAAATTATAAACAGATGAACCTTGATATAGACAGCAGAGTGACATCAATCAAGCTGCGTATCCTTCTCAAATTATTATTAATCTATTCATAGCTCTGGTACGAGAGGGACCCCTTAAACAGTTTAAAGAATGGATTAACACATTTCTAGGTTTATTTGGAACAAAAAGAGACCTTGACTAAAATGCTCAACCCTGCAGCTGCAGAGGGAGGGGGAGGTATAGCATTGCCCCCTGCTTGAAGAATTATCAATTACCTGCTCAGGTAAGATCACTAGTGTTTTGGTGTAATTCAACCTATGAAGCTGTATTGGACAGACAGAATTTCCTTCAGTGGATGCACCAGTACAGTTGGTTCTGTGTTGTCAATCACAGAATCAATGCGTCTGTTAAGATGTGGCTGAAGGTGGTTAAACAATCATGTCATAAGATCACAGTCACAGGAAATGGAACCAACATGGCATTACTGCTCTCTGTAGAATTATATCACAGGGGGGGATTTGATTGCTTCCAGAACCTGTGCCAGTTATTTGAACTCAACAGGGTTTTTATTGGTATTTAAAGGTCAGCCATTCTGTTTTGAAGGAGATCAGAGGCCCCAACCCTAAGATTTTCTGAATGATTCACATTTTCATTGATGCTTATGAGGTTGAAAGTGACAAAGAGATTATGGGCAAACTATTTGATGACTCAACTGATTGTGAGATAACTTCGAGAAAAAGATGTGAGGGTGGAAATACCTGAGGAGGTGTAGTTATGTCTGGGAAACTAACTCACTGAACTGGAGGGATTTATGTTGGAGGAGCTTGATTCAGGTATTTATAACCCCAAATCCAAGACACCTGGGACCAGCACTGGGATCAATGCAACTGGGCCATGTCCACATATTTTGATTGTGTCCACGCATTAAACCTTATTGGGAAAATGTGGCACATGTGTGATCCCTGGCCTTAACACTGTCATTATCTCCCTGTATCTTGGACTCACTCCCGAAGGCTGACGTAAAGGTGATGCCCAGCTCCTGAAGATTGTCTTGGGTGCATATAAAAAAAAGCTGGCTTCAGAGAAACCCCCCCTACTGTGGGCCTTCTACTGTGGACCTTTTCAATCATATCCACTCCATGGAGAAGATGACTTCCACCCTTTGTCTACAGAAAGACAAGGTGGGAAGGTGCAGGAGGAAATGGTTCTGTTATTCACAGGATGAAGGGGGTTGTTTATTTCTTCCTCTCTCTTACACATGTCATCAGTGCTGATATCTGTGCGAGATAATCCAAACCTCTGAAGTTCTCAGTTTAGTTAACCTTTATCTATTCAGGGTAGTTTCACTGAGAGGCAAGCTCTCTTTTTATAGCCCTGATCCAAACAATTACACACATTCATTCAAGTTGCTCAGTACAACCACAGTCTCACCTGCTGGCCACTGAGCGGCTCCACCTTGCTCAAGGGCACCACCATAAGTTGCTTTCACTTTTGTTGTCTTTAAGCACAAAATAAAGCGACTCCTGAATTACGCATATTAACTAAGAGCTACGTCATACGTTTGTGGTCATGCTGTAAGTGAATTAAAATAAAAATAAAAAGAGCTCCTTGAGAGGGATGGCTGGATAAAATCACTGGAACCAGGGTGACGTAACACTCATGTTGGATCTAGCAGTACTGTAACTCACGGAGAACATCCACAGCTCTTTAGAAACTCATGAAGAAAATGTTGGTGCCGTGATCATCTTGACAGGAAGGCGTTTCTTGTATTTTTGTTTGCCAGACATAAGAGGCAGCATGTGGTTTTGGGATATAATTCTCTTTGTGTAATCATTATATGGTGTAATCATGATAAGCACTTTCAGCTGTTGAGCAACTGGTTCACTTTTTCATCAGTCCTAACGACCCACTGACCTGAGTATTAATCTAATCTCTATGTGTTTGACTAACGCTACAGCAGGAAGCCACCATGGGCAGTAAATCCTCACCTGCTCAGCTCCCTCTGAAGCTCGTGCATGTAGTGGTGACACTGGGCGTAGTACGTGGCCTGAGCCTCTGCAAAGTCCTGCAGACAGCGCAGGTGGTTGAGCTGTGGAGGGAAGAAAAGACACGACAGCTTGCTTCATCATCGTCACAGCAGCCAAATATTATCATCAAAACACACTGATCCAGGTCACATGAGCCTCCTGACGTGTGAACGTGTGAAAATATTGTATATATTCCGTCAAGTGTTCCAGAGAGCACAAAACAACGCAAGAGGAAAGGAGCAGAAGAGGGAGACAAACTGGAATCTGAAGAAGAATCATCAAACACTTTTGGAAATAAACTTATCAACTTCACGCTCACATTTGTCTGTTTAATATAAGGCTGCAGCCAGCAGGCAGTTAGCTTAGCATAAAGACGTTTAGCCGGGTTCTGTCCAAAGCTAACGGAAATCCATCCACCAGCACCGCTAGCACTCATTATCATCATCTTAAATCTTGTTTGTCTAATCTCTGATAATCTCTACATGTATTTAGTAATTTTTGGATAATTCTGTAAAAAAAAAAAAATGAAAAGAAAAGAATGTAATGATTCATGCTGCTCATTTCCACTGTACTGCTGGTCTGGACTGGAGTGTCTGGCTGCTTTGACTAGTTGCCCCATCACTGCTGGCTCACACAGAGAGTTGCATGACTGACTTACGTGTGTGCTACTGATTCCTTCCAGCAGCAGTCTAGTGACCTCGGCCTGTCTGTCGAACTCGGTCTGAGCCACACGGAGCTCGTGCTCTGCCTGTGGGTGGAAACGAAGGGAAGGGAAGGAAAGGAAGTATTAAACTGAACACGTATTTAACAAACACAGATCACAATCTTCAGCAGTAAAGGTACTCACTTTGTCCACCTCCTCACTCAGCAGCTGAGAGAAGCAGCAGGAGAACAGAGAGAAACAGTCATGAACCATGGTCACACTCAAACATCTTAACTCTACACATCAGTTAACAAGGACACAGATCAGATGTATGATGGAACTGTGCTTCATAGGGTGGGTTCTGTTTGGAACATGATTCTCATCTAAAACACAGCAAAGGTCACTAAAACTAAATGTGATGAATCTTAGATAGATGTTGTTGTGGTGTCTGTGCCTTTGATTGTCATTATTTTCTTCTTTTTCTATTTTTTTATTAAATATTTTTTCTTCTTGCTTTATTTTATTTTTTATTTCTTTATTTTGTAAACATTTTTCCCTTCTTTTTTTTTATTCTATTTTATATATTTTATATTTTCTTGTTCCATATTCTTTTCGTGCATTTGTGACAATTTTGATGTTATTTTTCGTTAAAAGTTACTATTGTTTATCGTTCTACAGGTTTGTTTTATTTGTTGTGTTTGTGTGTTGACCCCAGGAGGACGAACGACCACTGTGTGGAAGATAATGTTATCCAAATAAAGAAATAAAGTTCTTTTAAATCTAAAGTCAGGAACTCTAGCTCCAGAAACGGCCTTTATTGAAGTCTGTTTTTGTTATTAGACAATTTCTACTTTAAATCTAATTACATCTTAAGGGTGCACTATGCATTCTGGCATGCGTTTCAGCACGATTTTATTTTTGTCTCAAATCATAGGCATCTCCCCTCGATCCGCTAGCTGCCTGCCCCCTGAATACACTGTGAAAAACGCTGTCTCTGAGGACAACACAGGTGTCACAAACGGCAAACAAACACTAGGGGCGGGGGGGCGGGGGCGGGGGGTGGGGGTGGGGGGGGCTTGCTCTGTTTTGTTTGGTATTTACTTCGAACGTCAACAGAAGTGACATCATGCAGGAATGCATAGTGCACCTTAAACCCCTGATTCCAGACCAGTTTTCAGGCACCAACAATTAAATACAGAGTTTATTAAATCTAGATTATTTAATTCAGTTCTATATTTAAATTAATTATTCTGACAGTCTATTTCAGGCAGCCTACAGGTAGAGCCCAGTGTGACCAATAATCATTTCTGACTATGGACCAGAGTCCAGTGGGATCTCCAAGGGAAGTAATCTTTTCATAGCTCCATCATTTAAAAAATATTTCAGTTTATCTTTAGTTTATGATCATATTGAGGATATGATGTGGAACTACACTTTCCTTGTTGACCTTCTGGTGGTTGCCATGGTAACTACCCAGCTTGCCTGCAGAGCCCTGCCGATACACATTTAATAACAAACAGCTCAGCAGTCTCACTAACGGTACACCTGTCCTTCACTTTTTATATCCTACACAAAAAGCAGTGTTGACCACACCCACCAAGTCTGTTGCACCTGAAACCACACCCACCAGTGCTGTCACTGACACCGCTGCACCGCTGCAGCGAGCTGAGTCAGACCACCACAGGACAGAAGCAGCACATTGACTGCTGCTGTTTAAGTCTGAGTGGAGAAAAAAAAACCTGCATCAGCGTCTACGGCCCAGTGATGAAAATCTGCTGTCCCACAACACTGGTTGCGATCGCGGCTTTTGCAGCTTCACTGTATACTCACTATGAACTACGGAGGCTGTGAAGGCCACAGCTGTGACCTCTCTATCCTCAGTTAGTATGATCTGTGGTATTATGATCTGACACCTGTGTTCACACTGTTTATTCCAGGCAGGTACTTTAAATCTGTTGAAGTCACATCGTGGCTGTACTCAGAATATGTGTGACGGTGTCAGATTGAATGCTGTAAATACTGGAGTGATGTGTTTGTGTCTAACAGCTGCTGTCCTTGGCCCTGTGCCTGAACTGAAGTTGACCTTTACTCTACATCTGCAGAGGCATGACTGAGGAAAATTTGTTTTGTTGTGCCTCCTTGTGTTCAGCTGGTGTTACTGTGAGAGAGAGAGTAAAGCTTAAAATATTTAAGGCATTTACAAGGACAAACAATGTGGTTAAAGGTTAGAATAAAATCATAAACTCAGACTGTGGTAGAAAAGTCAAAATAATCTCCTTTCCTTTTCCTTCTACTTCTCCTCGACGGAAAATATCATGAGGTCAAAGAAAGCTGTGAAGCAGGATTCATAAGGACTTAAGGAAAAGATGACTACAGTGCTGAGAGAATCCAACTGTACATGGAGGATAAATCCTCCTTTCCTAACCACAAACACAAAATAAACAGGACTGAAATGTTGAAATAAGATCACATGAAAGAAAAATACAAGTAGAGAGTGTTGAGCCAGTAAAATAATAATTAAACAGAAATAAGGAACTGAGCAAGAAGCCAGAAGAAATTATATTCAGACATAAGTTTGTAGTTTTCTGACATAAGAGCTTTTGACAATTCTATACATTTGTTAAGTAGAGAAAATTCATGTTTTGTGCTTTACACAAAATTTGTGTGTAAACTGTAGTATTTAGTTATGATGATGATATTATTAACTATATATTCAACCTGCTTGTTCTTCACTGGATTTAAAGAGAATAAATCTATATTTATGGATTTGGGCTTCAGTGGATCAGACAAGGATTTCCATCAGTTCTGGATCGTGTCACAAACATAAAACAGCTGCTCTGATGTTTCTACATTGATGTGGGTCTGCTGTGGTGAAACTATAATGGTGTGTTGCTTTAAATGTTGCTGCTACAGGGAATTGTGGGACGGCATTATCTCCTTTCCTTTCATAAAGGTAGGTCTAGTGTTTCCTTTGTTAAAGGAGATAAGATAGGAAGCATTGAAGCTCCTTTCCTCAGCTCTTATGATGGCTGCCAGGTCGACACTTCAGGTCATTTCACTCAGTTAGAAAAACTTCGGAAGAAAAAAAAAAAAAAAAAAAAAAAAAAAAAAATTTCCACCGCAGCTGCAGACTTCTGTATGTGTATGAGGTCACATCCATCAATATCAATAATTTCCTGGTTTCTCCTCTTTTTTTAAACTTGTAAGAAAAATGACAAACTGGCAAAGTGGCTTAGGGGTTTTTCAGAGTGGAGAAGGGGTGGATAAAAAAAAAAAAAAAACACTGAATCACTGGAGACTAAAATATCCTACATCTCTACCATCACAAACCAACACCACAAAGTTCTAGCTCTACTTTCTGTGGACAGATGTTTAAATACAACCTTCCTCTCCTCTGAGACACTGGGATCCGTCACCACATCCCAGCTCTCCCAGCCACTCTGCAGCTGGTTCACAGAGAGACAGACTGAAGGTCAACAAGCCTCAAGCCTTTTAACTCAACACATCATTTAAAAAAAAACAAAAAAAAAACAATAGCAAGAGTGGTCATTAAAGGAACTGCAGGTTTTGGTTCATCAGTGTTGGCTTCATGTTTCAGCTCCAAAGGTCGATGCTTGCTTGTAACATGGGTCAGTTGTAACACTTCCAATTTCTCCAATCAGGAACAAGTTACAAATCACCTGATTCACTCTATACATGTTCAATCTAGTCCAGTTTATTCCACATGTGAGGAAGTAGCACTGTGTGACGGACAGACTTAAGACTTTTTCTTTTTTCATTTTTTACTTGACTTCACTTGTGACAGTGTATGTCTATGTAGATATCTTTCATTTTGTCAGTGATAATGTTTTAGCTGTGAGTTCATGGCTACAAGAGTCACACACACACACACACACACACACACCCGAGACAGAAGTGTTACAACCATCCCTGGTCTCCCCTACAGTTCATTCACCGTCACTGTTTTCACATGTTGTTGCAGTTTTATGATAAGATCATTTAAATTATTTTTCCCTCTCCAGTCTAAACTCAATACCTCATAATGACAAAGTGAAAACAGGATTTTAGAAATTATTTCAAATGTATTAAAAAGTAAAAACTGAAATATCACATTGACATAAGTATTCAGACGCTTTACTCTGACTCTTGAAGTTTAGCTCAGGTTCCTCCATTTCTCCTGAGCATCTCTGAGCTGTTTCTCCGCCTTGGCTGGAGTCCACCTGTGATAAACTCAGCTGATTGGACATGATGTGTAAAGACACACACCTGTCTGTATCAGGTCTCACAGCTGACAAACAGATCAGAGCAGAAACCACGAGGAGGAAGGAGCTGCTGCAGAGCTCAGAGACAGGACTGTGTCCAGGCTCAGAAACATTTCCAACATTGGTCTCCATCATTCGGACATGAAGAAGTCTAGAACAACCAGGACTCTTCTAGAGCTGGACCCGGACTAACTGAGACATCAGGGAGAAGAGAGGACACCAAGAACTTGATGGTGACTCTGAGCCCCAAAGATCCTGTGTGGAGACAGAGAAACTTCCAGAATACCAGGAGTCACAGCAAAGTGTCTGAAGACTTTTGTCAGTGGGATAATTCAGTTTTTCCTTTTTAATCAATTTGCAAACATTTCTAAAATGTAGTTTTCATTTTGTCATAATGGATGATCGATGGATAAAAATATACTTGTTGACAATCAAAAGTGATAAAACACAGGTATGGGCTGTTGTTCCAGGGGTTCTCAGTGATATGGTCACACAGCAAGTCCTGGTTTAGCTGAACCAGGACTAAACCACAGCCCAGAGGTAGTAGTAGTTTAGAGCTTTAAACTGTGCTTCATTCATTAAAGTAAAAATCAGCAAATTCAAACAACACAGATGAGACATGCTGGAACATGCTGTGTCATAAGCATCATGTCATGCAGCGCTGCTGTTGTGTCAGTCTGACCTGCCACATGTTACAGGATTAGAGAGCAGATGCTGCTTTAATATGCAGCCACTACAGGTGGATGACATTACAGTGTTGGTGTAAACTGATTCAGGTGAGTCCTCCTCAGGTATTTCACATATTAACATATGAAACGAGCAGGTTGGATTACTGATTGATTCTCTGACTTGAATCACTGTGGTCACTTTTCTTTTCACTGGTCGGACAGAAAATGTAAGTGACAGTAAAACAAATGTCCACACCTGTCAAACTGTTCTTCTGCATCACTGAGAAAAACAGGCTGGACCGTTACGACCAGCAGGTCAAGGGTCACGTGACCAACGACGGGGGACAGCCAAGCTAGCACTGAGCTAATCTGTTAACATACTACATGTTATTACAGTTACAGACTACATACTGGGGCAGTCAGGCAAACCAATTCTGCATTTTATGACTAAAGCATGAAGGTGTCAGCATATAATCTACACACCCCAAGGTTTGTATCTGACCTCAGGTGACCTTGAGAGGTCATTAACCTCAGCATTGCCCATCACTCTCCGTTATAATTATATCTATCTTTGTTCTAATAAAGATGCTTATTTGCTGCGATGGCCGGGGCGACTGCAGACTCTACCATTTCCAGGTCTTAGGGTCGTTACAGCTTGTTAACAACATCTGTGGGTTTGAAAGTGTGTGATTATTGAAAATGAAGTTATTTGAGTGGCTTTAAACATCCAAGAATCTTTAGTGAAAACCCTAAACCTAAAGTTGAACTTTTGAGGATCATTTTGTTGATTTAAATTCAGGTTTAATACATGAAACACTTGAATAGTGTTAAAGTGGCATTCTGGAAAGAGGTTGGTTTTAGTTTGCTTCTCTCATCCTCATCACACCTGCTAACATTCAGGTTTCATTTCAGATTCACTTACATATTACATATTCATATTCCATCACATGCCAGTTAACATTAACATTTATCATTAGATAAACATTACATGAACATAAAATGATCAAGTATGTATGTGTGTGGATTGTGTGTCTCTCCTATGTTTCATACACAATCTGACAATTTAAGATTATGTCAGACAGACAAACAAACGTTTGGATCTGTGTATGATGATTATTTATAATAAAGTTTGAGAACCAGGCTAATTACTGGAGTTTCCCAGGAGAAACAACAAAACCTTGAAATACGAAAGACTCGCAGGAAAACCAGGAGTGTTGGCAGGTACGTGACAGAGTTTATATCAGTTACATGTACAATGTGGCAGATTAAAGAAACTGTTTCTCATAAACCACTGTCAGACCAGACCACAGAGCGCTGAGGCTGCGGCAGTGACGTGTAACAAGTTATTTCTTCTCAACACATTCTGGTTTTAACATGTTTCTGATTTGTTGGTGTCCATGTTAAAGGTGGAGGCACATAAAAGCCAGTTGACTGTGTGTACAAGTGTTAGCATGTTAGCCTAGCTGCTGCTTTTCTTACCGCTGATGCACTGGCAGACAGAACATAATTTCGAGGCCTTGTCTCCTGAAAGTCAGGTGCAGCCTACAAACAAGAGCGGGGAGGGGGGCATATTGGCACAGTCATGCATTTACAGTCACTCAGCAGAAGAAATAAAAAACAGTTAGCCAGAAGCATACAAGCATGAAGAAAACGGAGCAGGAGAAAAAAGTGCACATCATTTAGAGCAGGGTCACAGCAGAGGGTGCTGTACAGTCACAGTAATTACAGGCTTATTCAAAGTGTCTGATACAAAGAGCTCATACAAACAGCATCCAGCCTGAACCCTGACACTGAATCACTGTCTGATTAGTCATATTCTTCCCTCCATTATAAAATTGAGCTCTTATGAACTCGTGTCTGAGCTCAGCGCTGCAGCTTTGATTCATCTGACAGTCTGCACAAGGCTTTGAACTGCTGATCTGACTGGGCTCTGGTGATGACGGCAGCCAGCAGTTGAACAGGATGTTGGGTCAATGCAGCCATGCTGTCTGAAGAAGGAACCCACTCATACGACACAGGAAGGACAAGATGACTGCACGAATTATTCTGAAGAATGAACTTTCCATCTGCTCACAACATATGCTTTTACTTAGCTCGCCTCGAACAACCACACATCAACTGAGCTGATTATGTAAAAGAAAACAAAAGCTCCGTCTCTCACTGTCAGCCAACTATCAATTCAATTCACCTGGCTTATGACTCACCTGTTAACAAGCTAAACAGCTAGAGAGCAACATCATCCAATCAGAGCTGTCTGTGAAAACACCCAGTGATGATTTAATAATGGGAAAATCAAGATGCCCTGACGTCTACCACTTAACACACTCTTAACGCAGCTAATTTACCGTGTTCCTTTACCAGGGAATCTTGGGAAAAGTGAATTGTGTCTATCTGACTGCTGCTAAAGCTGCAGTCATCTGTCATTTTAAATTAATATCACCAAGCTCTGCAGTTTCCCTTAAAGAGCGTTTAAATGTCTTTCAGCTCATCGGTTTGGTCTGACTGTCTCTTCCCTCTCAGAGCTCGTAGTGTTGTTTGCAGCTGCAGCAGCTGTTTGCAGCTGTAAAAAGCCTCTGTCCTCTACCTGCTCAGCAGCTGGTGAACATACTGTAGTGGAGCATTGAAGCAGCTAAAGAGGAGCTGGTGGAGACAAAACACAGAGCTAAAATATATTCATCAGGTGACACAGACACCACTCCACATGGATCATCGTGTTGACCTCTGTCTGCTACTCAGTGAACCCTGTTACTGTGGACCTCATAACTGAGTGATTCAAATCCTGTGGCAGAGGACAGAAGAGGAAAGAACAGAAGCAGCATCAGTAGCAACAGGGACGAGATGAGACTCACTGCTGCTTTGGCCTCTGCCTGCTTGGCTTTCTTCACACGTGCTTTGCAGATGTCAAGATCCAGCCGTCGATTCTCCAGGAGCCGCCGCTCTTTCTGCACAGGACACGAGGTGACCAATCAGAAACAGCTGATCTGCCGCAGGGAGCACACCCTGCAGGACTAGGTTTCTATCCATCTAACAGCACAATGAGGCGACTAGCTCCGTGTTACAATACATCTCATAGGAAACAGCACATAGTCAGATCAAGTGAAAAAGGTGTCTGATGATCCCTGACAACAGATTTCTCTTTGCGTGGATGGTGTTAATATGAACAGATGTCATGAGCCCCATAGGACTGAGGATGATGAGCGGCTCAGTCAGACTTACTGATATCGTCCTCCAGTCTCCTTCTAGGAAGTTGCGTAGAGGGGTGAGGAAGCTGGCAGCTGAGGTTTGCAGGAACTCGCGCTCAGCTCCTCCCAGTCTAACCTGGTACTCTCCCACTATGATCAGGGTGCTACCTACAGTTGGCACAATACACAAACGCACACATGCACACTTCTTGTATTACACATAAGCAGACTACTGAAACAGGATTCATAGCTACAAACTTAGACAACTTGTTGCTTTGCAGAGAGCTACAGCCTGATGTGAGAACTTTCTTCTGCACAGGTTCGGACTGATGGTCGGGGTCCCACCAAAATCATGAGGGGTCATTCTATGGGGACCATGTGGATCTACAGTAAATGTTGTGTGAAGCCTGTTTAAGGTGTAAACGTGTGTCAGGGGTGAGGGTCTGGACCTACAGTCAGAGTATGGAGCGCAGATTGGTCCAAAGCGTCTATTTGGACATCTGCGTTAAGACGTCAAATTTGCATGTCTTAAGACGACAGAGAATACCGTGCTAACAGGCCAGTTTTGAACGTCTTAAGACATTTGGACCATCAATGCTGACATGCAATTGGTTTGCTTCAACATCCCCCCCCCTTTTTTAGTTCTTTTCATATATGTTGGGCTGTGTGTATGCCTGGGTTGTGGTCGTGGGCTCTTGCGAGTGGGTACGTTTGGGCTACGTGCCTATTGTGTGTCTTATGCAACTGCAAATCAATATTTGGGACAGTCCATTTGTGCAGAGGGGGGGGTCAAGAATTAGTTAAAACCACTGACTAAAATCACTGAAACTAGTGAAAGACAAGCTGGGGCAATGAAACATCATGAGTTAAATTTGAGTGGAAATGAGTGAAATCTGTGGGAAATGAGTGAAATCTGTTTAAGTTATTAAGTATCAGTGAGTGGTTCAGGTGCGCTCCTGCCCTGCTCCACTCCAGCTCCGCCCCCTCACCTGCTCTGTCTCTACAGGTTCTCATCTCTGTCCAGAGGGTGAGCAACAGACCATATGTGTGTTTTCGTTTAACAGGAAAAATCTCTATCCACTAATCTGAATGGATCTTTACAGAACGGACAGTTTACACTGAAATCAAAGGCTTACTGAACCCACACTCTCTTTCCTCCTCCTCTGCTCAAAATGCCACAGGTTGTTATTTGTGCTCTAATACTGCCATCTAGTGGCACTTAGACAAACACACCACATGAAATAAATATGATATTGAAGTTACATTTTTCTCAGTAGCAGCCTATAAAAATGCATATATCAATAATGTCAATATTATATATATATGTTAATATTATTATAAATAATGTCAACATTCCTAACCTCAAGTCATAGGTAGGTTGAATGGGGAATTGTTTCTTTGACATTCAAAACTGACGTGTTAACACAGTATGTTTTGTCAAATTAAGTGATGTATTAACACTGACGTCAAACTAGATGTTTTGGACCAATCCGTGCTCCACATCAGAGCAGCACCAGTGTTCTTCATCAGGTTCTGTGAATGTGCTGTGGTCTCTCTGTGACTTCAGTCTGGAGGTTCACTCATAATCACAATAAAGGAATGTAACCAACTGAAATGATCAGCACCAGAAGGTACAATACTTAAAACTTCACTAATCAATATTCTTATATTAAATGTCCCATCCAGTGTAAAGGTAGATGCCCATGTGTAGTGTGATTATAGATCAGGTCTAGGTTCTATATTAATACTGTGAAAGTGTCAAAGCCTCAGTCCACAGAGAAATGCACACAGCCTGTATTCAGAAACTGAGCCTTAAAACCAGCCGTCAGGACTTCTGGAACTTTGTGATGTCACAACAAAGCAGTCACCGCTCTCAGCCGTGCCCCAAGCCCCGCCCACCTGGACCCACCATCCAACATTGCAGGATTTGTTTTCTCTGAGTGTTTTACCTGAAATCTGCCACATTTTTACTGGATCAGTCAGAAAACAGTCAGCCAATCAGAAGAGAGGCCCAGAGCCTCCTCTCTTCTGATTGGCTCACCGACCTGTTGTTCCTAGAGCTCCAGAGAGAAGCCTGAGAGAGGAGATGTTCTCTTTCTATGGATCAACACTTCAAATAAAACACTGGAAAAGTGTAAAACATGGACCTTTAACAGTCGATCACCATGTGTAATGAGGTCACTCACAGAGTTCAGGTCCCCTCAGCTCTACAAAGTATTTTAGCATCTTTAAGCTCACTCTTTCGGTTTTGGTTCAGGTATGGGGACCTGGTCTTCAGCAGCAGTAGCAGCTGTTTCAGTGGAAAAGCTCTGATAAAGGCACTGTCCACTACCTGCTTCATAGTGGAGAGACACAGCAGAGGACAGACGCAGCTGGGCTAATGATTCATCACATCTCATTATTTTAATAAAGAAGACAACCATCTGTGACAATGTAAAACTGAACGGACTCAGGACTGAATGTTCTGCATGAAGTGAAATGTGTAAATGCGGCGGTGACCTCTGAATCTGCTCCTCTACATGCAGCGTCTCCAGTGTGTGGATGAACTATTTGAATCCTGTGGACTGTGCCGGGAACAAAGTAAACTACTACAGTGACATAAATGAAGACAATTAGAGAACACAACCACAATGAATCACTGCTGCAGAATAAATCCTCTATATAAACAGTAGCAAAAATGGGCTTTATATAATGAAAATCTAATGGATCGTAACTTCAATGACCTTGGTCCCAGAAAACTGAACTTGACACATCAACACTTTCAGGTGCAGACTGACTGGTTCTATGGTTCATTATATCCAAACAGATGCTGTTCAGTTTCACAGTAGAGAGTTTTAATGCAAACTGTTTAATGACCATAACAAATAGAGAGAAGCTGCCTCATCCCTTTTCATACTTCGTCAGGACAAACGGCGATGGACAGTGGTGGAGGTAGACGACGCTCAGAGTCTCATCAGTGTCAGTGACAGCTCCACTCACCATATGGCGTCCCTGGACCAAACTCTTTGGCAGCGTCCAGCATGTACTGGCCCAGCAGCTCAGCATTGGTCATCCTGGAGGGAAGCTTCTTGTCCAGTTTGTCATAGATGAACTCCTCTATTCGAGCACCTGGAGAACAGGAGAGAGAGAGAGAGAGAGAGAGAGAGAGAGAGAAAGTGTAAAGTGTGAAACACTGAGTTTCAGGAGCTTCGATCAAAAAAATGAACACACCGGACCTGACAGATGAACTCTGAGTTGAGGTTTTTTACTTGGTATTAGAACAGCAGGCCACATTCATACTTCTTCTCTCTAAATAATCCATAAGCCTTCCATTTACCACGAGTTCCATCAATTAGTAAATGTGTGTTAAGGCACTCGGCCTATAGTTTGCTGGATTACTTGGATCTTTGCCTGGTTCACTTAAAGGAACGATCAATGCGTCCTTTAGCTTGTTGCTAATCGTCCTTCCTCGTCCTTTCCCTGGTGCACTGATTTTGTTAACTGTCCCATAGTGAATTCTTAATATTTCATATTAAAAGCCTTCCAGTGGTTCAGTGGTTCCAGTGCCCCTCTTTTCTACAAGGCTTTTTTTTTTTTATTATTATTTTCTGGGCTTTTTGTGCCTTTAATGGACAGGACAGTAGAGAGACAGGAAATGGGGAGGCAGAGAGAGGGGGAATGATATGCAGGAAAGGGCCGTCGGAAGCGGGAGTCGAACCGGGGGCCAGCTGCAGCGAGGACTGTAGCCTCTATATATGGGTAACCCACTGCGCTACGTGACGCCCCTTCTACAAGGCTTTTAATGTGAAAAAGATACGGAAAGTATCACTTAACAGTGATTGGAAAAAGTGGAAGAAGTGATGGGTGATAATTAGTGTATAAAAGTACTACCTCCTCCAACCCCCCCCCCCCCAAAGAATTTTTATTGAGTTTAATGATACTGCAAGTCTTAGCTTGTTAGCATGCTAACATGCTTGGTTTGTTTGTTTGTTTGTTTGTTATATACAGCCGGTCTGATGGAGAAAGGACAACAGAACATTCACAATACATGAGCTGCATAATCACGAAGCTCGTAGGAACCATCTCTGCTTCACTTTAGATTTAATGTGGGTTTGAGAGTAACGTCGACCTCCAGCAGCAGATAGATCACAGACTAAACTGACTTCCACCCTGGAACATGAATCATAAAGAACAATGAGCTAACAGCTGCTTTACTGCACATTCAGCTCATACTGAACTATTCCAAGTTTAAAATATTTCTTTGTGACCTTTACAACACTTCCACTTTGTGATGTGTGTATTTTTTTTAATACAGCACAGTTTACAGACTGTTTAAGATGCAAAGTTAAAGTGTATTCAGCATCATCTTCAGTATCATCTTCAGCTTTTTGACAGACGATCTTGAAGATGTGAGCATGTTCTCGCTCTGAGGAGCTGCTTTGGAAAACGTGTAGAAATGTAAGATCAATTGTAGATTTGCTCTTAGAAAACACAGTCAACTTCTATGACAGTTAATCATCAGGAAATAGGACTTCTATCAGACTTATTAGTGAATGGCTTTTCTTTGTTTGGATGCCTGCTTTTATTTTAGAATTTCCAGCACCCCCTGAATGCAGCATTGGCTGTGTCCAATCAAACAAGTGCTGGCAGGTGTCTTCCTGTATAGAAAGTCATTAGTAATTCAACACCTGTCTGTATCTGCACAGTGTTAGTCAGTCCATACACCGTACAGCAGACTACATCCCTGAGCGTGTGTTCATTCAACATGGGACACAATACGACCAACCATTTATCTGTTGTTCATCCCTCAGACTGCATCTGCTGCGCTGCACATCATCTGTAGTCGTTACTGTGGAGGAGTTCTCTTACACAACACTGATAAATGAGGACAAGACTTACCAGTGTGGTCGACTGAAGCATGGAATGATAAAAATACACAGAGCAAAGGTTAGACATCACAACCAGAATCCTTTATAGAGACACATCACACACAGACACAGACTCAGGTACGACTAAAGACGTATAATCCTTCACCAAAATGGAGTCACTGTGCTAAAAAAAAAAAAAAAACAAAACACAAAACTGCTTGTTAAAATTCATGTGCAAATAGGTGAAAAATGAAAACTGTAGCGCATACACAATTATGTTCAGAACATCACATATTCATTTAAGCTGCTTTTGAAAATAAGACGTTTCACTTTCTGCCTTTACCTGAAACAAAAAACATGTTTCAGACTCGACTACTGGGTCCCAGGGGTGACATAGAAAATGAAATGAAAAATGTTTCAGACAAAATGTATAATGCGATGTGGATGTGAGACAGTTTCGTTTGACGGTTAAGTACATTTCTGTCTTTTTACTTTTTACATTTCCAAATTATTTCTGTTACTTCTTCAGTTATCAAATCAGAAAGCCATAGATGTAATTTGTTGGTCCTGGGACTCCGCATGGACTAATGGCCGTGGTCGTGTGGTTGTTTCGACAGACTGAGCAGGACTTACTGGGGTTGGGCTGCAGGAGCACCTCCGTCTGTCTCAGGATCTTCTCAGTCCAGTTCTTGGTGCCATCAGCCCGAGTGATCAGGTTCTCCAGGTGAGGATCCAGCTCTGTTTTCTCCGCCTGGCCCAGCTTCTCCTCTGTGAACTGGGAGACAGGTCAGGATATAACTTCAGTCACAATGAACTAGACCCACGTCATAGCTTTCAGAAAATGTCCTGACACTTTACTGTGACTCTGTAAGTTTAGCTCAGGTTCCTCCATTTCTCCTGATCGTCTCTGAGATGTCTCTGGAGGAAACCAGGCGTGACTCTTAGAACCGGTTTTCCTTGTGGAAGTTTCTCCATCTGCACACAGGATCTCTGGAGCTCCGCCAATGACCGTCAAGTTCTGAATCCACTGTTCATACTGACTTGTTGGGACATTTTTGGGTCTGTGAGATTACAAACTTTACAACTTCATTCTCATAATATTACGACTTTTTTTTCATAATTTCTGATGATTTTTTTCCTCAATGTGGCCCTAACACTCCATTGTAGGACTTCAATATGTATCATGTGAGATACTGTATATCAAGCTATAAATAAGTATAATTGAAATGAAGTGGTAAATGCACTGCCCAAATACCAGCATTCTCCGTTTAATCCCTTTGTTCTCAGTCTATTGACTGTAATATCTGACATCACCATGGTAAAACCAGCAGCAGACATATCTATGCAAATTATATCAAACTTATTTTGTGATAGCAGCAATCACCAAATGGACCAGGTTATAAAACTTTCCCCTCTCACCAACTGACGTGTCATAATAGGAGCTGTGCAATAAATCATGTGAACGCCCACTTCTGCTGACATAAAAAATACCATCTGTGTTATCAGGCACTTATCAGTCTGACTTCTCCTTCTGGATCTTCCATGGCCGCCAGCTCTGACTGATGGGAGGCAGCAGCCAGCTGGACTTAGAGACAGACAGATGACTGAGGAATTCGTCCTCACTGACATATCACAGCAGGAAAAACCCAGACTGACAGCAGCTCTGTGGACCAGATCACATGACTAAATGACTTTTTTCCAGTCACTTGGAGGCTGGATTATTAGGTACCAGCCTGGAACATCACACACGGCTTACAAATTATATTAACTAATGTTTTCTTTCACTAGTCACTTAAAAGAAAAGCCTTTGTAAGAATAATCCAGGTAATATGCAGAGAAGAGGCTACAATTAAAACTTTACAAATAAGGCCAACACTGTGATAACACCTACTTTAGGTGAATACTTTAGGAACATACTTTATGTTCAAATTTACTGGAAAACTGAACCATCAAACATGTTCATTTGATTTGGTTTAGGTGTGTAATCAGCAGCACTACAGCACAATGTTGAGGCACATCCTGCATCACTGGTGAGTGCGGTCAGAAGTGTCTCTGTTGCACCTGTAACAACACCCAACAGTGATGTCACAGTGTACTGACACACCCTGGAGTACACTTCTACTTCACTGCAGTGAGGTGAAACACTAGTGGCTATTTAAGTTGCTCTTTAAATGCAGCAGAATATATGAACAAAGAGAGGACTGCAGCCCTGTAATTTGTCCCATGACTCGCCATAATATGATATAATATAATATAAATCATTAGTTCCTCCGTAACACTGAGCACATTCCAAAAGTTATTTAGAGCTGTCATCATTTGCTCTTGTACCCACAATTCCTCAGCAGTCTTGCTTACTTCCTCTGCAGTCAGTGGTTTCCTGTGTTTCCCACAATGCCATTGGACAACCTCCAGAAAAACAGCATTAATGGATTCATGCATTCAATCAAACATGGTAGAAAAATGTGGGCAGAGACGAAACGACAGAAGCTTTTCTGTGCTGAAACTGTGTCGTCGGTGTTGCCTGCTGTGTGAGCTTCCTGACACATTAATCTGACTCTCCTGATTAAACTCCCTCCTGTAATAAGTGTAATGATTATTATTTATATCATTTAGTGTCAGATCTAACCCGTGTTGTATCCAGCTGTCACAATAGACTTACATGTATTTCACACAGGCTGTCAGAAAAGCTGTGTGATGATGGGAATGTGTGAAACAGCCCTCAAGGAACTCCCTTGTAAAATCTTGTACTTAAACCTTTCCTTAATAATCAGCACAGGTAGGTTCATGATATAACATGACAGTTTATTTATCTGTAGGGAGGTTTAGATGAATTCGGCAGAAAAATAGTCCACGAGAGAACTGCGTCTTACTGTGGAAGCCCACATCTTTAACGAACCTGACGCAACTCCTAATACAGAGGAGTCATTAAATGACCCGTTTTTTTGTGAATATGTGATAAATTAGAAAACCTATTTGGCTCTGCCGTCTGGTCCATGAAGGAGCCCTGTCCTGCTCAGCTTGTGTCACGTGGGTGACTCACTCGACCACAGCCATCAATAATAGATGGAGGCTTGACAAACCTTTATCGGTTTACAGCCGCGCTCATCAAAACACACCCCAGAATAAACCTGCTGTTATCTCCTCAGCAATAACTGAAACACCGTAGACTGCTGTGTGTGCGCTGAGTGAGTGAAGCATCGTGGCCCTCAGCCTGTTTCCATCCCTGCAGGATGACGGTAAACCAGCCCGTAGCCGGTGCCTGCCAGCTCTGCTGCGGGGGCGGGGGGGGGTCGTCCTGCCGAGGATCTGCTCTTTACCTGCATTGCCCGGGTGAAGAAGACCCCCGCATCGGAAGCCAGTTTCTTGACGTTGAAATCCATGGCGCCGCGCTGAGCCGAGCACACAGGCAGGGCTGCTTGTTTCCCTGAAGAGGAAATCCTCCGGATCAGCTGAGATGATGCAGCAGCAGACGTAGGACTGGAGCCGTAATCCGCTTCATGGACAGTCGGAAATCTGCTCTCCGCCCTGCGTTTAAAGAGCCCACAACACCGCACTGCAAGTCACGACAGCCCCTGCCCCCCTGCAGCATGTACTGTATCCCCCCCCCCCCCCCCCCCTTTACCCCCCCCATCGTGACCTCTGGTTGTGGCTGCATCTTTATCCTGTCATCAGGTCAACAGACACTGTTCCAGCCGAAATTTAATAATGTGCCCTCTGTAGATTATTCAGAGAGATTGACGGGATTCCTGCGAAGAGCACTGGTGCTGAAATTTTGAATGTAATTAATTGCTTTGAGCATCACACACAGCGGACCCCAAGTATTTAACATTTATTTAAAATTGGTGAAGGTTTCACTTTAAAGCTGCAGTTTGTACTTTTTTGTGTGCTTGGAAATTCCCTTATAAAGTTTCTGAGCATGCCTCGTTCGTCTAACCAATCAGAGAAGGACAAAATCAGGGGTGGTAGCTCATGGCTCTCAGTTAGTAGCTGAATTGGTGCAGCAGATAACCGCATATTTTAGGGAAATCTTTCAAATGTGGATACACACGCTAAACTTGGCACAAATTGTCCTCCAAATTCCTTGGGTATTACTTTTGATACACTCAGCCACTTGAAAATTCAAGATGGCCGCAATTTCTAGCAAGGAAATTTTCAGTTCATCCACTATTTTCTAATATGAATGATGTAGGTGTCAAACCAAACATTTTAACAATGTAGAAGGTGAAATTTAGTGAAGGCCTACTGTAAAAAATCAAATAGTCAAAAAGTATTTTTCAGCAAAAAATTACTCACAAAAAAATTCACAAAGAAGCTTGCTAGCTAGTCTAGTGCTAGCAAGTTAGCCTAGTGAGCTAATGTTACAACAAGTAGCCTAAACAAGTAGACTGCCGACTCTTTTTGGTACATCATTCATAATAAATGGTTTTCAATTACATGAAGCTCTGAAGAAATTTAAGTTGTGAATTTGACATCCTCATAGTCTAAAACACAGGATTACATTAGAAAATCATTGAAATCTGTCCTGTGGGTAAAATTCTGTGCTAAAATGTTTCCTATGCCAGAAACGGTGGCCATCTTGAAATTTTGAAATATCAAAAGGGCCCCAGAGGAATAAATCTACAAATCAGTGATAGCAATATTAATAATAGAGATAGTAGTGGCAGTAACAGCAATAGTAATGTAATGGCAACTGTAGTGCTTCTACTGATAAAAATAGTAATGACAGCTAATAACATTAATAATTATCATTATTATACTAGTAAATTTTAGCAGGTTTAGCAGCAGGTGTTCAACAGGATCATGGGGCAGTAGGTGGTTTGCAGTTGCAGGTCCAGACTCTGCAGCTCTGGAGGCAGGAGGACATGCAGAGAGTAACAGGACGGAGAGGGGAGAGAGAGAGAGGCACACAGCCTGGGCGCTCATGCGCTTGAGGGAAAAAACAAATGATGCAGTGATATTCAGAAGGTTTACAGTGATCTCGTCAGCAGGACAACCTGGACTATATTGTACTGAGAGTACTGATTTATTGAGACTGAGGCCCACCCGCCGGTGGTGGGATGGCAACAGGTACAGAACCTGAGTCTGTAAAAGAATAAGAAGCTGACTGAGAGTTAAGGCATAAAAATACATTTGAAGTTTAGATTTGAAAGTCTGAACAGAGTCAGACAGTCTGATATCAGAAGGGAGGTGGTTCCAGAGCAGAGGGGCCCGGTAGGAAAAGGCTCTGCAGCCAGCAGACATCTTTTTAACTGTGGGAACAGACAGGAGCCCTAAATTCTGGGAACGGAGAGCACCAGATGGAGTGTAAGGTTTAAGCAGATCAGACAGGTATGAAGGAGCAAGTCCATTTAGAATCTTATATACCATCAAAAGCACCTTAAAGTCTGAGCTGATATGGACAGGAAGCCAATAAAGGGAGGCTGAAGTCTGTGTAATATGGTCAAATTATCTGGATAACAATTTTAGCTGCGGCATTCTGAACCATTTGAAGGTGTGGATGTGTATTGTGTGGTGTTGTGATGGATGTGTGTTGTGTTGTGGTGTGATGGATGCGTGTGGTGTTGTTATGGATGTGTGTGGTGTTGTTATGGATGTGTGTGGTGCTGTGATGGGTGTGTGTGGTGTTATGGATGTGTGATGGACGTGTGTGGTGTTGTGATGGATGTGTGTGGTGTTGTGATGGATGTGTGTGGTGTTGTGATGGATGTGTGTGGGTGTTGTGATGGATGTGTGTGGGTGCTGTGATGGATGTGTGTTGTGTTTTGTGATGGATGTGTGTGGTGTTGTGATTGGATGTGTTGATGGGTGTGTGTTGTGTTGTGATGGATGTGTGTGGTGTTATGGATGTGTGATGGAGTGTGTGGTGTTGTGATGGGTGTGTGTGGTGTTGTGATGGATGTGAGTGGTGTTGTGATGGATGTGAGTGGTGTTGTGATGGATGTGTGATGGGTGTGTGTGGTGTGTGATGGATGTGTGTGTGTTATGGATGTGTGATGGACGTGTGTGGTGTTGTGATGGTGTGTGTGGTGTTGTGATGGATGTGAGTGGTGTTTGTGATGGATGTGAGTGGTGTTGTGATGGATGTGTGATGGGTTGTGGTGTGGTGTTGTGATGGATGGTGTGTGGTGTTATGGATGTGTGATGGACGTGTGTGGTGCTGTGATGGATGTGGTGTTGTTGTTGTGATGGATGTGTGTGGTGTTGTGATGGATGTGAGTGGTGTTGTGATTGGATGTGTGATGGATGTGTATGGTGTTGTGATGGATGTGTTGTTGGTGTTGTGATTGTGTGTGTGGTGTTGTGATGGATGTGAGTGGTGTTGTGATGGATGTGAGTGGTGTTGTGATGGATTGTGTGATGGATGTGTATGGTGTTGTGATGGATGTGAGTGGTGTTGTGATGGATGTGAGTGTGTTGTGATGGATGTGAGTGGTGTTGTGATGGATGTGTGATGGATGTGTGTGGTGTTGTTATGGATGTGTATGGTGTTGTGATGGATGTGTGATGGGTGTGTGTGGTGTTGTGATTGGATGTGAGTGGTGTTGTGATGGATGTGTGTGGTGTTGTGGTGTTGTGGATGGATGTGTGTGGTGTTGTGATGGATGTGTGTGGTGTTGTGATGGATGCAGATGTTTGTCCTGTGTGTGTGTTGTGCAGGAGCTGATGATGCTGTCTGCAGTCATGTACAGGTGATCCTGTCCCCAGTGGAAATGACCTTCTTGTGCTTGGAGTTGTGTTTTCATCAGTTAGTTTTCACAGTTTAAGCAGCTGCAGTGAAAAGAGAAAAACAACACAATAACATTTTTACCACTCCATTTTATTGCTTATTCATACCTTTACACTAACGGCCTGGTTCTATTTAGATCAGGAAAAACTGCAACTCCACACTGGATCAAATGTTCTTCACACGGATCAGCAGTTACAAAAGAAATCAATGACAGAGTGTTGACAGATTCAGAAACATGATGAAATTAGTAGATGACACTTGAAACCGTTTGTGACACAGCAGTTCTCCTGAAGCAGAATTTCACTTTCATTTTTTTTGTTTTTTTTAAATTTCTTTTATTTTCAGCACAAACATCTTTATAAATAATCAGGAAGAGTCAACACCCCAAGACGTCTTTTTCTTCATGGAAAATAACTGAGACAAAGATTCAAACCAGAGAGAAGTGCTGGAGTCGATGATGAAGATCATCTGCTTTCTCTACAGAAAGTGCACACCTCCACCATCAGGATATTTCTGATTTAGTTGTGACCACATGAGAAATCCTCTTCATGTTTGCACATTTTAATTCCTAGACAGAAACATTTAGTGAGTCTCTAATGAAGCTGTCCACTCCAACACCAGCTATCACTGTGACTGTGAACTGTACCGATCAGATCCCATCAACACACAGAGAACCGTACATGACAACCAGGAAGTCAAAGCCAATACAACTGATATGAAATAGCTTATAAAAGATCAGTTAGGCATCATTCATCCACGTCATCTTTAACCATATTGATGCAGAATGAGACGCTGTACAGAGGTTGATACTGGGAACCAGCTGGAGCTACACACACTGTGGAGCCAGTGTGTTTTCATGACAAACCACTGTGCAAGATTTCTGAGCTGTTTCCTCTGAACCAACTCGTTTTACAGCTGCAGGAGAAAGTGACCGACAGTGGATCCTTCACTGGCAGGAAGTTTAAAGTCTCAGAATCCCTGGACCAGGAGCAAAGAGTCCTGATCAGACCACCATCCAGATCCTGTTCACTGCTGGAGGTAAAGGGAGTCTGTAATCCCTGCTCAAACTGTCCATTCAGCTCATTTATTCAAGTCAAATTAAATTACAGAGGCAACGATGCACAGACCTAAAGTAAACTGTATTTAAACATAGTAGAAAAATGAAACTGTGATTGACAGAATCATTGTTTAATTGTTTAATATTGTTGTAAAACGAATCTCTTTGGGGACCTGGGTTCTGGGATATAATAATGTTCACATTGTTTTCTGCACAATTAATTACTTTAAAAACAAGGATAGATGAATAATAGAAATAAAAGTATGAATTTTGTTCACTCACTCATGGCCCTGTTTGATTCAGATTGTTATAAAGTTATTTAACTGAACGTTTCTCTGAGAGTCAAACCTCCTGCTACACTGCACACACTAACAAACCTGCTGTGTTTACTGCTGGATGTCTTTATATAAACTTTCCTATGGTGTCTGTTGTACTTCCCAATATATATATTTTTATATATTTATTTTTTTTCACAAGAAAACACCACGGGGTGTCTCTAAGAGTAACTTTGATTTGGGAGAAAAGAGTCAAGTTAAACCAGAACAAGTTTGGTAAAATCAAAGGTGAGAACTGAGAGAGCTTCTATATTCACAGTCAAACAGTGAAAAGTCCATCACCCCCCCCCCAACGTAAGGATGTCACTTCCTGAACAGATCATTCCAGTTTCAGCTTTAAACATGTGAACGCACCATTTTATTTTCTCCCATCAGCTTGTAGAGAAAAGTGTTGTGATTGAAGTGAAGCAGTAACTTAGCAGCATGTTGACCCACCAGTGAAACTGATGGGCCATCAGGTGTTAAAGGACATGTGTTTCTGTCAACCTGGTCTCTGTTATTATCTGGCATCTTACCTGACCCCTGACCCGAAGCACTGCTGAGCTGAGAGGCGGAACAGATGCTGTCTGTGACATTCATGTATATTTTAGTCAGTGATTTATCAGTGAAATCTTGAGGGAGCACTGAGGGAACACACTGCAAACACTATATTCCCAAAAGTATGCGGACACCCAAACAAAGCCGTGTCGGAGCCTGCTCCTCACCTCTGCTCCAGGCTACACTAGCTGCTAATAAAATAACACACCTGAATCTCTGAATAGACTGTTGATGGTCGAGTTGAATTGTGGGTAATTAGGAGCAAGGTCTTGACAAGGAAGAGGACTAAGTGGAATAAAAAAGACGATCAATTCTGATCACTTTTGATCTTTAAGGTTTTGCTATTGCTACATAGCTAACATTAGCATTAACAGTTGTTTACTCACCAGTCTAGAAGAAATGTTTTGAGTTCAGCAACAAACTTCATTCCTTCGCTCACCAACAGCTGTCTCCAGAGGTGGAAAGCAACCCTCTTGATTTGCCTCTATTTCTATCACCTCTTTTCTTCTACTGAAGTTAGCATGCTAACCAGCTAGCCCCGGCCTGGTCAGATCTTCTTCAGTCTGTACTGAAGAAGTAGCTGCTCAGAGGACGTATTGTAACCTCCTGTATTGTAAAGACAACAATGTCTGAAGATCTCGTCAAGACCGGTAAGTAAACATCTATTAACGATAAAGTTAGCATTGTAGCAATAGCAAAACCTTCAAATAGCTCCTTTAAATAGTGACACTGTTACAGGAGTGTAACATTAAATCTGTGGAGTACTCTTTGAACATTACACCCAAACCGCTGCTTGAACAGCCTCCACTCTTGTGGTTTCAGGCTGCAGGGACTCGGACACATCAGTGAGGTGCAGCACTGATATTAAATGATCTGGCTCACAGTCAGCGGTCCAGTTCATCCCAAAGCTGCTGGATGGGATTAAGGTCGTGCTGAGCGCTGTGCAGGCCAGTCAAGTGCTTCCAAAAATCAAACATGGAAAACTGCCACACTGTGTCCACATACTTTTGGCCATATAGTTTGTCATCTTAGTGTGTTGTGACCTCCCTCACAGCTGAAGCTCACCACTGCTTCCAGAAGAATCAGCCTAAAATGCCAGACAATTAAAAACAAGAGTCAGGTTGAACTACACCTAAAAGGTTCCTTTAAAGAGCATCCAGGATTTCTACATGACGACTGAATGAGGGGGTGTTCTGTGTATAGTTTCTTATCACTGACCATATATCAGTCAAACCTAAACAAATTTAAATACAGAGTAAAGTCATGAGTGTTTACAGTTATATTATAAAACATACACACGGTAAAAGGATGAGACAAACTGAATATTTACATATTTAACAAACAAGTCCATCGTTGTGCCATGAAGGTCTGGAAGTTTTCCCTCCCGCCAACATCAGTGTGATGCTTCTCTGCAGCCTACACACACATAATGGCTAATATTCACTGTACATCTGTGGCAGCTCAGTGGCCCCCACAAGCATGAGTGAGTGTGAGAGAGCAGTGTGAGAGTTGTGAGCTCTAATGGCGGAGCAGGACACTACGCAGCCTTCAGCCGTTCATTCAAACATAGTTATACAGAGGAGAGCTCGCGAGGGCTTCAGTTTCCCTCCACTGAGTCAAGCATCACTCCGACTGTTTTGTTCTGTTGTTAAGTCTTTGACACACACACACACGCACACGCACACACACGCTCACACACGCACACACACACACACACACACTGAGAGATAACAGTCACCCACCCCCATAACCCCCGTCCTAACAGAAGAGATGTGTGTGTGCAGCAAAGGTAATCACCCTCACAACAAAACTCCATGCACCAGATCTCAAGTCCTATGTGTCAGAGATTAAGGTTCAGTCCAAACTGCTGCAAACAGGGTCAGAGACTCAGCTCTGCTCTACAAAATAAGAAGAAGAAGAAGAAGAATGCACACAATTGACCCTTGTGGTGATGACGGTAGGTGGGGCCTTAAGGTTGGTTTGCTGGATGTTTGCTGGGAATTCTGGCTCCTGTGGGGTCAACCTCTCTGTCCATAGTTTACCTCCTGTCCATGGTTCGTCTCCATGGGGTCTTCTTTGAAGTTTTCACACTGCTCCATCACTTTCCTGCAAACATGAAAACAGTTCAAGTTAGCTACAGGTCAGGTACACCGGGGCTTTCTACCACACATGGTGTGTATTCAGTTACAACTGCACTCTGTCCGCTGCTACAGCAGAATATTTCTCAGTCACAGTGAAGAAGATGCCAGATTTTACATTAAACAGGCAAAGATTTCTCAACACACCCTTCACTTCACTAGTGTCTATAATGAAGGGTGATGCCCTCCGAGCTTTTCTCACCATTCAAGTTGTAGCATTCAAGCAACTACAGATGCATTTACATTTTACATTTACTCAGACGCTTTAATCCAAAGAGACTTACAGTGAGGTTCACCACTGAAGCTTCAGAGCAGTAGAGACCTTGGTGTAAGAACTAAGCACTACATCTGTTTAATTAGTGAAGGAGATCAGGTGAAGAAGTGCAGTGAAAGTTCATAGTGAGAGCTAGTTATAAACTTTTTACACCAAAATTAACAGGTATAAGCAGGTTTTTAAAACGCAGGTAAACCCACTAAAAAAGGCAATTAACACCTTTTACACTGCCACCCGAGTTTGTCAGAGAGGACACACACACACACACACACACACACAAACGCAAGGGAGAAACAATGAGGTGCTAACTGCCGTGCAAACTAGTAAAATGAATGCAGATTGTTCAGTTTTCATGACTGACAAAAGCCTGATGTTAGCAGGTCGTAGTGGGTTTTTGATCAATGGAAAAGAGGCCTTAGACATGTGCAGGTGTTAGAGGTGTTACAGAGGAGGTTCTCTCTGAAGAGAGGAGTCTTCAACAGATCCTTGAAGACAGAGAGGGACGCTCCTGCTCTGATAGACTTTAGTAGCTTGTTCCACCATCAGGGAACCACAGACCAGAACAGTCTGAGACCGTCTTGTGTGCAGAGATGGTGATGACAGACCACATTCATTAGAGGAACACAGTGGCTGAGAAGGAGCATGAGGCTGAATGATTGAGTTCAAGTATGGAGCAGAGCCAGAGGTCCCTCTGATGGCAGCATTAGTGACTGAATCTGATTCAGGCGGGCCATGTGTAGTTAGTGGAGGTCGAGTGTCATGTGACCCTTCAGGTTGATCAAAGACCAGACAGGCTGCTGCATTCTGGACCATGTGTATGGGTTTGACTGTGCATGAAGAGAGGCCTGTCAGAAGAGCATTGCAGTAGTCGAGGTGAGAGATAACCATGGTCTGGACCAAGCAAAATTATGTCTTTACTACATATAACAGAGAGAATCTAAAACCAGGGTCTTCACACTTCTTGGCCTACGACTGAATCATCAGCTGTAGAATTGATCTTATTAATCAGAAGCTTCCTACCAGAGCACTAACGAGTGTGAGCAGTACGCAGAGGTGAGGGTGAAGCAGTTTGTACAGAGAGCTGTCAGTCTTACCTGGCCATGTCCTTGGTTTCTGGCTGTGAACTGTCCAGTTCCAGAACTTTCTCCAGGAGACTTATTCCTCCTTCTTTTATCAGCAGGGGGCAGTATTTACTCGCTGCAGCCACAAATAAATGAAAGAGAAAGACTTGAGAATTACACCTGTGTATTACTGTATACAACACAATTTAGACAAAATGTTAGTAACAAGTGATGCTGGATCACAGTAGATAATAATATGAATGTGTCACAACACAAATATGTACTAGTGTGTTGTTCTGGTCTAATATAAGCGAGCTCTAAGTCAAACACAGGTTTACAGTCACAAGCGTCAGAGTCTTCAGGACTCTTCTGAGGATGTAAAGACAGATTGTGATGCCTGGTGTAAAGCAGATACTCACGGTAAACTGACACCAGGTTGTAGAGAGCCCATGTGGCCCAGTGCTGACTGACCGGAGAGATGCCTTGAGGCAGCAGTCTCAGGATGGGCTCAAACGACCTGAGAGACCAGACTCCAGTTAAAAACTCACATTAAACAGCAAAGAAGAAGACACTGTTCAATAAAGTCAGACATCTAATAAAATAAATGCATCAAAAACTTCACAAACAATGTTAGTGTAATTATATACCTACAATCAAAAAAAATGTATTACATTAAATATAACTTTTACTACCTACTACTACTTCTTATCATCTGCATTTCATGGAATTTGTCCGACGCTTACGACCTAATATCTGCAAAACTAAACTAACGTTCCCATCAGCCTCAGCTGTGCTTTATGTTAGCTGCTATTAACAAATGTTAACTCCAGCATGGTAACACTGTCACTGTGAGCATATGATGTTAGCTTAGCATAAGCATGGCCTCACAAAGTCACTGTCATGGCTGTAGACTTAGAGATTACTGAATAATGTAAAAACCTTGTGATTACAAATTTTTAAACTTCACGAGAATTTCTACATTTTATATTGTCACTAAATATATGGTACTAGGTTATAATCACTGATTGATATGATAATGTGAAGCATTTAATTATTCAGTAATATGTTTTAAAAACATATGTTTTAAACCTATTTACATTACACTGATTTAAACTGTACTCTGTCTAAATCTAGGCTTGGGCGTTATCCAAAATGTAATATCTTGATACAGTCCAGCCCAAACATCGCAATATATGTTATTATCGCAGGTTTTTTTTTTTTTTTTTTTTTGTGGGGGATTTTTTTAATACAGTTATATTACTGTATTTTGTGTTTCAGGTGTTTTTTAAATAACATATAATAATATTATTGTATTTTATGTTTCAGGCAAAGCAGTAAAATGAGGGTTGGACTCTGCAGCAATATTATGAAAGAAATCACATATAGCAGGAATAAATTTTCATTGTAACATTTTGATATAAATACATACACACTACAGTATAAAATGCATTATTAATATAATACAATATGAAACAGTTTAAATTACGCTGATATGGCTCTAACAAAGACATTGGACAGAACCTGTAGTTGATGTTGCGGCGGGAGCTGACATCCCAGCTCTGGATGGCGTCCCACATCTTGTCCATCACTGTGTCTCTTCTTGGCTCGTCCATAGACCAAACCTCCGGCCCATCAAACATGATGTGTGACAGCACGCCGCAGGCGTTGTACGACACCTCGATCCCATCTGCCTTACTGTCCAGCAGGTTACTGTCAGACCATCACACAGTGGGGGTGGGGGTGGGGGTGGGGGGTCGGATGAAAAAATATCTAATAAGAGGTCTGACTTCTAGTTTGTATGAAAGAGCAAAAAGTCAGTTCTCACTTGCAAACACTAGATTCACTCAAGCTGTTTGTTAAAATATGTAAAGGGTTCTATCTCTTCTTTTTTTGCTTCACATGGTGAGGATGCAGTGAGGATGCGGTGAGGATGCGGTGAGGATGTAGTGAGGATGTAGTAAGGCTGCAGTGAGGATGTAGTGAGGATGCGGTGAAGATGCAGTAAGGCTGCAGTGAGGATGTAGTAAGGCTGCAGTGAGGCTGTAGTGAGGCTGTAGTAAGGCTGCAGTCAGGCTGCAGTGAGGCTGTAGTGAGGCTGTAGTAAGGCTGCAGTCAGGCTGCAGTGAGGCTGTAGTGAGGCTGTAGTAAGGCTGCAGTCAGGCTGCAGTGAGGCTGTAGTGAGGCTGTAGTAAGGCTGCAGTCAGGCTGCAGTGAGGCTGTAGTGAGGCTGTAGTAAGGCTGCAGTCAGGCTGCAGTGAGGCTGTAGTGAGGCTGTAGTAAGGCTGCAGTCAGGCTGCAGTGAGGCTGTAGTGAGGCTGTAGTAAGGCTGCAGTCAGGCTGCAGTGAGGCTGTAGTGAGGCTGTAGTAAGGCTGCAGTCAGGCTGCAGTGAGGCTGTAGTGAGGCTGTAGTAAGGCTGCAGTCAGGCTGCAGTGAGGCTGTAGTGAGGCTGTAGTAAGGCTGCAGTCAGGCTGCAGTGAGGCTGTAGTGAGGCTGTAGTAAGGCTGCAGTCAGGCTGCAGTGAGGCTGTAGTGAGGCTGTAGTAAGGCTGCAGTCAGGCTGCAGTGAGGCTGTAGTGAGGCTGTAGTAAGGCTGCAGTCAGGCTGCAGTGAGGCTGTAGTGAGGCTGTAGTAAGGCTGCAGTCAGGCTGCAGTGAGGCTGTAGTGAGGCTGTAGTAAGGCTGCAGTCAGGCTGCAGTGAGGCTGTAGTGAGGCTGTAGTAAGGCTGCAGTCAGGCTGCAGTGAGGCTGTAGTGAGGCTGTAGTAAGGCTGCAGTCAGGCTGCAGTGAGGCTGTAGTGAGGCTGTAGTAAGGCTGCAGTCAGGCTGCAGTGAGGCTGTAGTGAGGCTGTAGTAAGGCTGCAGTCAGGCTGCAGTGAGGCTGTAGTGAGGCTGTAGTAAGGCTGCAGTCAGGCTGCAGTGAGGCTGTAGTGAGGCTGTAGTAAGGCTGCAGTGAGGATGTAGTAAGGCTGCAGTGAGGCTGCGGTGAGGATGCGGTGAGGATGCGCTGAGGATGCAGTGAGGATGTAGTAAGGCTGCAGTGAGGCTGCAGTGAGGATGTAGTGAGGATGCGGTGAGGATGTGGTGAGGATGCAGTGAGGCTGTAGTGAGGCTGTAGTGAGGCTGTAGTGACACACAAGTGAGGTACCTGGTACCAAAAACAAGTATAGTCGAGTGAAGTTGAACCTGTACCATGTAACAGAAAGATGCTACCACTGTGTTTGAGTTATGACAAAGACTGTTTGTAAATGATCTAATTAAGTACATGCAAATCTTAGATACTAATCTTATCTAAAAGCAGAAAGTTGTTTAAATTATCTTCAGGAGCTCTGTGTCAAGCAGCAGGTGAGAATATCCACTGGTGTTTCAAAGACATTTGATGAGTAAACTTGTCACAGGTCCTTAAGTTTATTGATGACAGGCAGACTGACCAGAATCATTGAAGAACCATTTTACCCACTCTTCTCTTACCTGAACACAGTGATGAACTGTGGGGTGAGCAGCTGTGGCCTCAGAGCTTTGACTTCAGCAACATTTCCCAGAAGCCCCAGCATGTTGCGGTGAAGCTCCTGCTTGTCTGGAAACTCCTGGATTGAGATCATAGAGTAGAAATATTTGAGGATCAGTGTCTTAGTAGTCCAGAAGCAAGAGGTTTAATCCTGTACAACTACAACACTGTCTCTAACATGCACTGTGGAACTTATTCTGGACTGTGGACTCACCTGTAGACATTCCAGAAACAGACTCATCCCCCGGCAGTTGAGAAACATCTGACAGTTGTCAGGTGTCTCATCAGTGATGTTCCACAGAGCGCTCCAGGAAAACTCCATCACCTGGTCACACTGAGGGGAAACACACACACACACACACACACACACACACACACACACACACACACACACACACACACACACACACACACACACACACACAATATTACATTCAATACTGGAATCATGATAAGTCTGCATTTAAATAATGATAAATTATTCATAACAGACTGCACCAAAATTCATAATCATCCACTGAGTAAAGTGCCAGACAAGATTTATGCAGATAAAGCAATACAACTTAGAACTGAAATGATGCAGGAGTAAAACACAGACTCACCATTCTGTCCTGTAGCTTCTTCTGAATTAAATTCAACATTGTCTGAAAATGGGAAAAAAGAATAAAGTTTGTGTATAATGAATTCAATTTAAAAAAAATAATGATCAGGAGCTGAGATCCTCAGGGTGATGTCACACAGGTAGTAACACTATGACAAAACAAGGTAAAATGCTTGTTACTAAGGTGTAAAAGATGATGTACAGTGTGAGTATAAACATAGCCCCATGTTAGCAACCAGCCTTTTATAAGACATGTTGAAGCTGAAAGAAATCAGGATTGGGGTATTTATTGACGTATTTTTTAGTCATAGAATAAAAGCTAAAAATGTCTTGAGCTTGTGTTAACTACAGTCCTTATTTCATTCATTTAATCAAAAACCCATAAACTTCGGGACGAGAGGACAGGAAGTGCTAATATGCAACTAATTTCTGAGTTTTAAGACTCATTCCTGCAGCTCTCTATAGAACAAAAAGAATTGGTGTCTTCTAACTGTCCTGACACCTGACCTCAAAGAACAGCTGTTTAAACTGGACATCTGTCAGGAAGAGGAGAAAGTTGAACAAAGTTTATTACCTTAACAAATCCCATCTTTCCCACAGCTTCCTTGTGATGGTTGTCCACCTGACAGACCAAAGCGTTACAGAGGTGAACAGCAATTCTCTGGATGGACTCGTCCTGCCTGGCCGGCTCCAGGATTTTCAGTAGCAGCTGGTTGACCCGACTGTACTGGAACTCCAGCTCCTCTGGAATACTGAAGTTACACAGAGTCAGGCAGCAGTTCCTCTGGACCTGGGGAGGGGACACAAGGTCAAACAGAGGACGATTAATAAATGAAAACAGTGTAGATCAAACAGAACCAACAGCTAATCTGATGACAATTATTTGATACACTTTGATTAAGTGGTGTATAAAAAATGTCATTCATCAACTATATAACAAGCTAATGTTTTATGTTTTCTTAAGATTACAATATTAAAGAACTAGACTTTGTAGAGCACTTCTTCCTCACCAGACTGCTTTCACCTTGTAACCAGAGACTGCATCTCTGGTTACAAGGCTACTAGTATAGGAGGTCAACACTGATACTAGCTAACACTCGCAGCATTCACAACCTGTGTATTTAGGCGTGAAGATGAGAAGGAGAGGACTGCAGGATGACACGCCCCCTTCATCAGGCTGTTGCGTCACATGTGGCTTGGCTGGTATTATGACTCAACCATCTGCACATGCGCATGATGTATATCCAGGTATTACATACACACTTTTATTGTGTGATCAGACATACTGACATGCAAAATAAGAAATCATGTTTTTTTGAAAATGTGAATGTGATCTTGTGAAGGCAAATATCTAAATCATCACTTCACTAAAATATCTGTCTTTTAAAACAAATAAACTGAAATCTGAGCCTCCTTCCTCAGAGATGATGATGATGATGATGATGATGATGATGATGTGCAGACAGTACTCACAGTGACCTCCTGGTACTGCTCCATCCCATTCAGCACCACTTGAATGACCTCTCTGCGCAACCGCACACTCTGGTCACTGCGGTACTCTGTGTTGGTCAGGTAGAACAGAGCGGCGCTGCCGGTCACCTGGATGCTCTTATCATATTTATGGCACTTCAGTGCTGCGATGACGAGCTGGGACGAGGACAGAGAGTTTACCGGAGAGGTGTGAGAGAGAGTTACAGGTACAACATGCAGAAAGATTTTATCTCCCCTCCATCAGACAACAACCAGACAGAAATTCATCGTACCTGCAGAGCTCGGAGCAGCTGGCTGCAGTGTTGTATCCTGGCAATGTCAAACAGCTGATTGATGGCTCTGTGGGCCAGTTCAGGGCGAAACTCCGTGTAAGCTTCAATAGCATTCAGGACCTGGTCTTCATTCTTTGATCCAGTCACCTGAAAAAGCAACAAAGAATGAATTTTTCCCATTTCAATCCCTGCTCTCCTACACTGAACCCTTTACTGTTGATGCTCTGATAGATCACCATCATGTGCACCGACTAATGTTAGAAGAAAGAACTAAAGATGTATTTCAGTTACAGTTATCCTGTTTTCTATCTGACCAGTTTTCTTGAACCCGTAACTTAAGATCAACTGTATTTCATATCGTGTGTTCATGTCTGCTTGGTGTCAGTCTTTTTGTTTTCTACTACTTCATCATCACAGGTGTCGCCTCCAACAGTCCAATCGAAGACTGCTTTTTCCTTCTTGGACTGTTTCACTTGACAGAGGGGAAACCGTTGAGGCCTGAACAGGTGAAAGGATCCGGAATTTCACAAGCAAAAAGCTAAAAGTTCAATCAGATAATAACATTAGTAAAATTTCTTATCCCACCAATCCTATTGTGACCCCTCAGATTCATTTTTAGCTGTTAACATGGTCTGGTTAGCAGCGATTGAACTTTTACATTTCAGTATCTAACTATAAGTGGCTAAATAAAGTTTTTTGATGATGGGATCTTTAAGATTCATTTGAAAAGTAAATCATAGACCAAAGTGAGAGTGTTCACCCCTAACCTTAATTACAAAAGAAGACTTTCTGAATCTTTGCACACTGCACTTTTTCTGAATGTCCTTCACACTTATGACCAGTTTTTTAAATTACTGTTGACACTGAACGTCACAAACAAACAGATACAAAAGAAATAAAACTGTATTGAAACAGTAGCAATAGGAATGTTTGGAAGCATCTGGATCAGGTGGCAAAAAGGACTTCACCTCATCATCCAAATATCAACCAGTCCAGAAGTGGAACAGTGGAATCGGAAGTATATATAATATTAAGAGACTGAAAACTGGTCTGTGTGTGTCCGGTACCTTGTAAGCAGGGATGTGTGTCACGTTACAGAGGCTGGTGTCATATAAGCCCAGGAACTGCAGGGGCCTCTTCAGTTCCTGGAAAGGATAGATGCTGCTCTTGCACGGCTCAATGCTGAAACAAAGAACAGCGTGGCTCATTGATATGTTCCCCCGAATCAGACGTACCAATGTATGCTTCTCAGTTAGTCACCCACCTGGGTCGCCCCATAGCTTCATCAAAGTGCGGAACTGTGCTGTTGTCCTGCATCATGTGACCTGAGATGTCCAGTGACACCAAGTTGACCAGACGCTGCACGACCACCGTCAGGATCTTCCTGGTCATCTTAAACTTAGGGGTCCGCCTGCTCTCCCGCGACACGTCCAGATGCCTGAAGTTTGGAGGACAGTGACAAGTTTTAAAATGATTTGAGGACATGTAAAGGGAACTACATATCTACACACTTACATATTAATATGGTTAAAAAACTGGTTTTGTCCAAGCCGTGAGAGGAAGAACTGTATTGGGACAGACTGTACTTTAATCCACTATGACTAAAAGTAAAAAATCAGTAAAGCATGAAAAGCTGGGGATGAACATAGATGTTGAGCTGTTGGAGTCATCTCAGCTGGACGAACACTTCTAGCGAGAGTAGCCACAGAACTGAAACATCTCCATTTATAGACAGTTTGTTTAACTGTGGGCTGATGAAGAGCTAAACTCTGAGACTGTCTCAGCTTCATGCTCATCATCTCTACTTCATCCTCAGTCTCTGAGATCTTTGTTGTGAGGCCTGGTTCACATCAGCTGATGTTTCTCGTCAACGTGTCTCTAACCCAAAACCTCCAATCTGGTTTCACTGACTGACTCCAGGTCAGATAACTGCTGACTCCAGCTAGCTTCTGTTCATGTCTTTAGTCGAGGGCTTCACACACTGTTTCCAGCTACACTGAGAAAGTTTATTTTCAATAAGATTTGTGTTATTAGTTCAACTAGATTGTGTTCATTATTGTAACTAAGATGAAGGAACAAATTTAGACACAAATGAAGATAATTACAAAGTTTCACTGACTTTTTCTTACCACAGCTTTTCTTACACTCACATAATGTAACCCTTAGATCATATATGAAGATAATATTGTGACTGTTTCCATTGCAGTGTAGTTTGATGCTTCGTACTCTAATGCTCAGTGTAATACACTTCATCCTCTGTTCTACCTCCAGCAAACTATGGACGTCGTCTGATTTGGTTGGACAGCATGGTAAATGAGCCTTCTCTGCTACAGCTGCGCGCGCACTCTCCGCCATGAATAATGTACACATGCCTGTACGAGCTTGTGTGTGAGTTGGCATTTTCTCTCTGACGCTGAGGTGGCTGCTGTCAGTTAATCTACAGGAAGCATACAGGAGCACCTATAGCTGGGCAATTAACCGAAAAAGTATTAAACCTACGTAAGCTGGCACTACCTCGTCTTCAGCCATCCCTCCTCAGAATCCTCCTGTCCTATCTCCTCCATGTGGTTTCACACCTTCATCTATGTAACTCTGGTGACGGTCAGATGATTAATAATTCTTTCTGTCACCACAGGTTTAAATCCTATGACTGGCCACCAATCGCCTGGAGTGCTGATGACTTAATAAATGTGTTTAAATTCAGTACCAGTGAATCATTTCATTTTGACTTGGGTGAATGGGATGAGGCTACAAAGAACTGAAAGCCCTGTCCCTCCTTACCTGAGATTAACAAGCTGCACCACTGTACTGACCAACTCCTCCGACAGGTCCAGGTTGTAGAGGACCAGAGAGGCCAGTCTGTCTTTCCACTGGCAGAGAAAAGCTGTTCCCTCCAACGTTACATTAGACAGATCTAGTGAGGTGAGTGACTTCAGGGGTTTGAGCAGGGTCTCAGCATCCACTTCGTCAGGTAGGCCCCCCAGGTTGAGCAGTCTGAGGCGGTTGAACCCCTGGAAGTTAAAGTCTGTCTCTAACGCTTGCCTGGAGGCGGGGCTCTCGTCCTCCTCGTCCTCTGTGTCTTCATTGCAGGCGAGCGGGGCGCCGCCCCTCCTGTAGAAGATGTGGCTGCAGCCGAAAAGACAAAGAGACACCAAGGTCTCGCGGAAGCAGGTGAGAGTTTTCAGGCTGCGGGACGACAGGTTGTTGCAGTAGGTGAGGTGGAGCTCAATCAGGTCCTAGAAAAACACACAAGAGGAAATAATTACTGAACTGACCAGTGAGCAACACACTGACAGCAGCTACAGGTTGACTTAAACTTTATCACAGTACCTGCTTCAAAATGAGAATATGGTTTTTCACATCTATTGGCATCCCTGAATTTCAAGCACATACATTTACATATAATTTTGTAAAACCAGAATATTTTGATAAAATGTCCAAAGTTACGCGTAAAAAAACAAAACACAATTATCAGCAGCCTTCACTGATATTTGGTTGTAGAAGCCTCGGCAACAACAACAGCCTCTGAAAAGAGAATGAATAACTACATGACTCTATAAATAAATATACATACATATTAATATACATATTATTAAATATATATTAGCCCCCAACCAAATACTTTTCCTGATCGACTAGTCATTGTATGTTTATGGTATTAATTAAATTAGGTAAACACATGTTTTTGGGGGACATCTGAAAAAGGTCGGAGTCCAGGGATGGGAAAGAAACATTGCTAACACAGAGCTACATTACAGAGAAATACAAAACCGCCATGAGTCTGGCGCGTGTAGTAAGCGGGCCGTCCGGTAATGACACCGGCAAAAAACAAAGAACTCATTAAGCTCCAATTAAGCTTGGGCCAGATACCAATTTAATTCTTGCCTCAATGCCCCCCCAAATCCAACAGTATTTTTTTCTTTGCGTCCAGACAGCCAGTATCAGTTTACAGTGGGAAAACATGACCCGGAAGATTTTCAGCTGCCACCTTCCTGCAATATGTCGACGACTTGTTGGAAGTCAGTCATTCTGATTCTGTCTTGCTCCGGCACTGACTGGCTGAGCGTGGTCACAGGGCGTCTCTGGCTAAGCTACAGTTTCATCTGCCTGAACCGACCCCCTTGTGACACGGTCTGAAGAATGGACATCGTCTCCTGTTGCCACAGAGTGAAGCTTTCTAACAACAAGAAAGAAGTGCTCTATTATTTGGAGATATCAAATTACTGCAGACTTCTGATCTGGACTCAGACAATCTGCTCCTCCCGCTGTGCAGTGGACAGAGGACACGATCAGAAACACATACTCAGCATAGCCCGAGTCTGGTGTCTGCCTGATTATCGTCAGCTGTTTCATCTACAGGTACATGAGAAGGATGGCTGTGAGTACAGGTATCAGTGCAGAAACAAGGGTCACATGACCAGCCTGGTGTGTACTACACTTCTGGACTTTCACCCGTGGACATCAGACCAGCTTGTAGACCGTCTGATGACAAACATCTTGCTGCTGTGCAGTAGTGAATGCCTGGGCAGCAGTGGGAAGCACGAGTGTTACTTCATGGTACTTCAGCCCACGCAGCAGAACTGTTTGCTCTCACATGGGCTTCATGTGTTGCTCATGGCTGTGGTCAGTTGCGGAAGATGAGAGGGTTTCTGAAATGCTCTGGAAAACAAGTTCGGCTTCATGATTTGGTCACAAATAATTTTGTTCCCATCTCAACTTGCATTTGTCAAATGTGCTGCTTACACTTCAGGGTAACATGTGGAAATGCCCTGGTTTATTCTGCAGCCAAACAAGCAACCATTTCCTCTTTCTCCATCAGTGAACGTCTACACAACCAGCAAATGCAATTTGTGCACCATCAACGATGTGGAAATGTAAAACTCCAACTCTGACCATGTCCTCGCTCTCTCCTGGCAGGAGAAGGGGGGATAAATGGGGTAATTCGCTCACAATGGTTTGAACCACTGTGAGGTTTATGTGATGAAGATTTGGAGTACTGCAGGGAATTAACAGTGACAACCTTTGGCACAGGTGGCGAAGATAACTCAGATTCTTGCCTTAGTGTTTGGATTTCAGTGGCAGAGGCAAGTCTCTAATCATCCACAGAGCTCAGGTCGAGAGATGATGACAACAGGTCTAACATGGCTCCATGTAGTGCTGGGCGATATGACTTCAGATCAATGCAATATAATTATTTCAAACCATTATCTCGATTACGATTCATGAATGATAACTTTGGCTGCGTCGCATCATCTAGAGATTCCGTATCTCGCCTATTTGTCACATGTGGGATAAATAAAGTATCTATCTATCCATCCATCCATCCATCCATCCATCCATCCATCCGAGGAGCCTTTTCGTCTGTCTCACAGAGGTGATTTTGTATTAATAAGACCTCTGGACAAAGACAAGGTCTCCCAGGTGGAAAAGACTGTTCTAGGTGCTGCTGACAACCACAACAGCTCTTAACATCCAGGGCAGAACAAAATGGATCCATGCTTCAAGGTACAGATCAGAAAGGAGGTGGAAAGCCATGGGGAGTGAAAGGGTGGTTGTACTTCTTCCTTCTGCTCGGTGAACTTGGGGACCATGCAGGACAATCCGACACCGACACGGTTACAGAATGTACACCACACATTGAAACACACTCTTTGCAGTGCGCTTCAGATCAACCGATGAAGACAACAACTGAAGAAAAGGAAACTGTTGTGATGAGAAAGCATAAAAAGGACGGTTCAGAAAATACGGATGGACTTTTTCCTCCAGATCTAGTCCAGACAAAAGGAGAAGTGGATCCCATCACATCGGAATGTTCTACTGATGGATGTAAAATAGGTGGCTGTAAGGTAAGTGGTGGTCGGCTGCACACACACTACACACTACAGACTCGGTTGAGTTAGTAAAAGCTTTGCCAAAACTAGTTAAAGAGCATCACATTACTCATACCCCTGGCTGCAAACTGAGGGGTGTTAGCTGTCTGCGGGATCACAGTGAGTTAAAAACCTACAGAGTCAATGACGATGTTGAAGATGGAACCGGCGCACTGGTTTGTAGCCAACAGGGTTGCTGCAAAGCACCCGTCTGCCCCCTCCATCACTTCTGAACTTCTCGCTGGCGGACAAATTTCACATCCTGAGTTTGCAGGAGGCTGCACCTCACCACTGCCATGCCCCCAGGTGGTCAGGCGTGCACACTCAGGTCCAGCGCCCGGCCTCAGCGCTTGTTGGCACCTCTAAGGTTCAGCACATTGCGGTACTCGGTGGCCAGGCTGATGTCCAGATGCTTATATAAAGCATATAAAACCAACCGCTTTGCAACTGACAAAATAACTCTACCTCTGCAGTTGTTGTTCATGTTGGCACCAATGACATCAAAGGTCATGAGGCTGAGCTCAAAGACTGTGTCTGCTGGACATCCATCAGGCAACAGGTGATTATCTCCCATTTTGGTGACATGAAAATCAGTCATTTCCACCAACTCCATATCTGTCTAAAGGGTTTTTGCACCAGCAGAGAATCCCCTTTGTTGACAGCTTTGCTGCTTTTCTAAATAGGCCTCAGCTGTTTAAAAGACTTGGTGCTCCTGCACTGAGTCTGACTGTAAGAAGGTACAGTCAGATGGACTTCACACACTAATTTAAATGAATACCTTCAAAATCACCAGTTTTCATTTTCACATAATAAGACTGCTTGTGTTATGTTATCATACACACAGTCTACTAGTGTCGTTGTGACTCTATTGTTCAGTTGATAAATAGAATGCTATTATAACCTGAGGGGTCTGATTGAATTCAAGTTTTCTAGTTGAGATTCTCCACAGAGGTGAACTGGAAAATGAAAATGTTCTACTCAAGGTGTCATCAGCTTATTCTGAAAAATTAGTTTGTGGCATCCCACCTGTTTTCTAATTGCCTCCAGATCTCTGTCATGTACAAAGTCTTCTCTCAGCTGTACCCTGGTCAGTCTGGTGCTTCGAGGGTCTGAGAACAGCTGGAAGAAGTTCTCCTCTGGTTCAAAGTTACTGTCTGTGTGGACCAACTCCATATATCTGTTTCAACAAACAAACAAAAGAAACATGTATAACCTGCAACATCATAATAAACACAGAATAGTTTGAAATACTGAAAATTCAGAAATCAGATTAACATCTCGGCAACATATCTCTTCACGTACGTGTTGACCAGCTTGTCGCAGATTTCGCTGGGAAGGAAGATGTCTGAGCGCAGGCAGACCTTGTTCCTGAACCCCTGGTAGCACATGGTCTTCCTGAGGTTCCTCAGGCAGAAGACCGTGGCCAGAGTCATGAGGCTCTCAGGGTTGTCTCCTGCTTTGGCTGCCATGTTAGCCTCCTCCTCTCCGGCGTAGATCAAAGACAGGGCAGTGCAGGGGACCTTAAGAGGCGAGCACTGATCAAAGTCAAGGGTCAGGAACAGTGTGATTTAAATACAAATAGTGCACATGAAGACACTAATTATAAATAGCACAATAAGCTATTGTCTGCTTGATTTTATTATTATCTTTGTCAATCACTGCAGGTAAACATTAATGTTTTAGATTATTATACTGTATATCCTCATAGGGAACATGTGACAATGAAAAAAAATAAACAATGTATGCAATAAAAAGAGAGACAAGGAATTAAAGACATTACATTTGATCTAAACATCAAAGTGCAGCATTAAAGATATTAGCTGGACGTTACAGTTTTTGTTTTCTATATTACATGTCCCGTGTCTGCTTTGTGTTTAATTAACTGATGATCATACTGCTGTTAAAAGGCCTCACTGCCATGAGAAACCAGTCCATATGTCCATTTTTGACCACCTATTTGCAGACACTGCAGACCTGTGCATACTAAGCTAAGTTAGCTGTCATGCCTACTGTTAGCAACTATTGTTACCTACTTTGCAACAACTTGTTTCAACATTAATAACAAAATCATTTTATAGTAATCATATTACGCTGAATGGCTGCAGCTGATCAGCCGGAGCTAGTCACCAGCCCGCTGTGTTTTGGTCTGTACTACGAGTTTGTTAGCTAACCATACATAGCCCTGTATCCTGAGGGAGACAGCAGACTGTCACTAAGTTAGCAACCAAGCTAGCTAGCAACACTGTAGAATAATTTACTTTAACAGCACTAACGCTTCATAGCTGCTGACAAGCGGACAACAAGTGTTGGACTACTCACTCACAACAACCCAAAATCCCACAGAGCCACACGTGTTATTGTAAATGAAGCCTTCATTTGCCGATACGGTATCAGCAGTGCACTTCAGCGTCCAAATTAGCTTGTGGCTAACGATGACTTTCCCTGCTATGGTGTTAGCTAAGTTAGCTGGTGGGGCTAGCGCTAGCTAAAAGCTGTGTGTGGAAATGCGGGCTACAAACAGTGGTCAGCGGTGTTTGAGTGCACGGCTCAGCAGCCGGAGCTCTACCTTAGCTTTCGCCAAGGCTGTGTGTCCCGATGACGGCGAGAAGTGGAGTTATTATCACCAGTCTTCACTCATCTGATTTTCGTTTTCGTCCGATGTCAACAAACAGACTCCTCCTCCTCCTACTTCTACTCCTCCTCCTTTCCTTCTCTTCCTCTTCTCCATCTCTCCTCCTTCCAGCTGCTATTTTTACTCTGCAGTAGTACAATCTGATCATTCTGTTCTACTTTAGTTTTACTCCAGTTTTATTAACCAATACATCAGCCTGTTGTAATTAATTTTAGTTGTAGCCTACTACTAGTAGTAAAAACTGTATAAACAAAAACAAGCTTAACTGTACTGATAAAGCAAATGGATGCAGATATTTTTAAATCCATCCATACAAAAGATTTTTGAAAATAAATTTCTGTTTAACGAATCTTAATTAAAATATATTTTTCTTTCTAATCAAACCTATTTAGAAGAACTTTATTTGTTCTTGTCATCCAACCTCTTATGCTAATAAACTGTGTGCCAAGCTATTACAACAATTTTCATACTCTATATATAATTTTTTGATATTTAAGATAAGATAGAAATATTATATACACTAACAATATAAAATACAATATAGGCAATTCTTTGTATGTGCAATATAAAAATAAACTTAACAATAACTTTTTATTATTATTTTTTATTATTTATTTATTAAAACATTTGACTTATATGTTGAATGTGTCAATATCTGCCAATAGGGAACCAGCAACCCACTTTGCCCCCCCCCTTTACTCCAGATATGTCAGTGTTCTCTCCACAGTACAGGTATACACGCTAGACATAGAGATAGAGAACTGTATCTATGACTACCATGCAAACACACATGGTATAAGATCACTTACTCACAACACTGCACTAAGAGAGACATCACGCAGCCACGTATACAGAATTAATGCATGTACATGTATCAGTGTGTGTGTTCAGGTCGTGGCCTGCAGAAGCAGAGCAGCTGTTGTAGCAGGTCTGTGTTCATGTCTGCTCTGTGCCAGCACAATGAACCACATCAGTAAATGATGGGTCACAGAACAGAAGTCATTATTATACAATTCATATCCTTTTGGTTCAAACTGCAGCACATTCATGTTCCCACGGTGATAAAGTCCCTCATTATGACCCTATAACTTCACCTCAAGCTCCAATCCCATATTTTAGTCCCACTACTGTCACTTGCCCTGGGTTGATCAAGAGTAATGAGTCACTGACTCCAGACTTGGCTGAAGAGGGTGCTCAACATGGGATAGAGTTTCACAAAGACATGATGTTCAAGAAACTGGAACTTGAAGTGTGTATTGTCTCCAGTTCTGCTTGAGGACTCACATGTGGTCCATCAGGTGTTCACTGTGGACTGGCACAATCCTCCCTGCAGCCAGAAAACAGAAACAAAGCCAAAGTTAGATTGACGCAGTGCTTAAGAATGATGCCTAAACATAGATAAACTCACAGCCTTCTGTTGTTAAAGTGAGCTCTAATGAAGAATACATAGAAGAAACCACCCTGGAATATAGTTTTGTAGGTCACTTTTATGATTTTGGTTATAATTTTAATTTGCTAGTTGCCAACTACCAGAGGCCTGTATTACTCCTGTTTATGTTGCAAATCAACAGGGGTGAAACAACTGCTGATGATAGCTTAGTGCTGGAAAGCTACCCGTCATCCTGATACTCTTAAAGTGATCTGCAAACTTATACTCCAGAGTGCTGGTTTCTTATGTATATATGCACAAAGTCGTTGGCTCGGACCATGCACCTGAGTAAGATTGAATGAGTGAAGTACTTGCATCCACCTACCATTTTCTACATCAAACTATACCACTGCTTACCTTTAATTAGCTTTGACAAGACGGTGTCCACATCAGTGGGTCCAGGCTTGAAAGCAGGTCGGACAGAGTGTCATACAGACATGGTACAATGTTCAGGAAACTGGCACTTTGAGTAGGCGTTTTCATCATCGCTGGGGATTTATTTGATCCTCTCTGCAGCCAGCAAAACAAAGAAAGCATTTAAGGGCAGTACCAGTTCATAAGTCTATCAATTATATGTACTCACTGAAGCTGAGAGGTGACAACGCTGATGACAAATCAGACAGCTGGCCATTCCACATTCCTGCAAAGTTGGCAGCCTTGCAATCTCTAGCTGCACTGTGCTGAGGACAGAGTTAAAAGATTTTGTAGTGTTAAAAAAAAAATGTATGGCTAGGGATTTGGAGAAATTATCAAGATAAATATTAAAATCTATTGAAAAATCCAGCAGTTAAAGAGACAGAAGAGGTGGTTGAACTAAACAATAGCTCCCGGTGTTGGTGGACTTCAGGGCACTCAGAAATGTGTAGCTAGTTGGACAAAGTAACACTAGGGGGCAGCAATCTGTTGGTTTGTACTAAGTCTCCATAAGGAATTTAATATCTACATTACATTAACATACTTAATGAAATAACTGAGAATAAAATATTTATTACGATAATAATCAAATATTGAAAAAGCCCAAAAAACTGAAGTGGATGGCTGAGACTGGTAAGAAGATACAATCATATTAAATTATACATTGCCTAGATTTATGCAGTTCTTAACATCAACAAATTGCATGCACAGTCTGAACATGAAATGGCTACACAGTGCTTAGAGACTAACTGAACATTTTCAGCTTTAAAAATTGTAATAACTTTCCACAAATGAAATACGAAAATGAAAAATTAGCTTGTGGTCATTGTTGTTTGTTTATTTACTTATACACCTGCCAATATAGGCTGTACATTAACAAGTCCCTTTCAAGTAGAATGAACTGACTTTCTCCATCTCCTAAGCACTTAAATAAACAACGTGGTTCATTACTGTGAAGTTTGTAATTAAGTATATAGACTTGCCACAGAAACTGCAGCTAAACATTTTCCCCAATAATCGTTGAATGTTAGCTAACGTTAGCTAACATTCAACTACATGAGACAAAAGTCAACTCTCTCAACTCCCAAGACGGCCAACATTAACTTAACCTGCCCTTAAATAAGTAGTTTTTCAAAAAACTTCAGAAAAAACCCAGTTAAATTCAAAGTCAACTAGTGTTGATACTTACCTCAGGAAGGATCGTTGCAGCAGCAGCGTTCAGGACGTTGTGCCACCCCCACAGATCAGCAATGCTAGGCGCTATCTTCGCGCGGTCGAAAATTTAAAATCCGTCCTTGGTGAAGTTGAGTTTCTTTCTCTTCGCTCTGTCTTTCTCTCCGCCTGTCTAACTCCTGCTTTCCACCTGTCTGTATGCCCGTCCGCTGTGATATTTGGTCATCCTTGCACAAATTTTCTTTTGAAGTGTCCTTTATTTGTTCTATCCCATGTTAAGACAGTATATTCAAACAGGCTATATGTTTTACCTGATGGTGTACCATATTTTTAACATGGTCTTTCTGTAGAAATTAAGGTATGTTTTTGCTGAATGGTGAAAAGTTTTGGACTGTAATTTTAAATGTACACATCTGCAAAATATGTAATTTAAATTGAATAATACTGTTAATCGTAGAGTAAACATGTTTTTGAAATTAGGGTATTTTCCCATTATTTTACCAAAAAAAATTTTTTCTCAGTAAAACAGTGTGTTTACTACGTATTATGACAGTAAAAATTAACATGATGTACTGTTTCTTGGTGTAGGGTAATTTAATGTATCTACTACAGCGATATCCGTCTTCAACTGTTGCTGTTTGACAGTTTTTTACTGTACTTTCTACAAATATTTTTTACAGTGTAATATGTCATCTCATTCATTATCGCATCTCCATATGTACACATATGTACATAGTAATTTAAGTAGTTAAATTACATTTTCTCTTGTGCCAACACACTGCAAGGAATGGAAAGTGAAAAGGGGCCCTTCTGCCCACAGCAGGTAACTCCTGCCCTGTTCACTTCAATGGCCTGAAGCATGGTGAGCTGTTTTTTCTTCAAAGCTATACCAGAACATCAAACTGTGCTCAATTTACATGTTGTATTTGCTTGTGAGTGTATTATTAGCCATCTATGTGTTGGAGTTTGTGTTTTTGCAGAGAAAGTGCACTGTACAGATGTTCAGATGGTTGGATGTTATCCTTTTAAACTCACTTTTGGCTTCTGTAATCACATAAGCCCCCCTCCACTCAATAATGTGTTTGGATTATGTATGTATTTATGTATTTCATTTATTAATTTAACATTTTAATTACTCAGGTTGGATGTTTAACCTTTGGTGTGGAAAATGTACATGCAGTTTTCAAAAGAGACCAACAGAAGATCAAAAAAAAACATGGATATAAAAGAGGATGAAGGAACTCTGTACTTTATCCATGCATTTATAGTCCTGCACTCAGAATGTGTTTAGCTTATTGCTTCTTTATTTAGATGTTTGAGGTTCACTGTGCAGAATGATGTTCATTCAGACTCTGACATTAGAAACAAATATGTACAAGAGAATTTTATGACATCACAACTAGTCTGAAAGCCAATCCTAGAAACTTGAAACCTCCAGTGTACATACACTGAGAATGGACTCTGACATACTGCACTTAATTTTGTGTATTACTTCTAATGACCTAAAAATGTTTTTCATATGGAATGAACGTTGAACGTTTCATTTTGTTCTTTTGAAGCATAGATTATACAGTAATACAAATGTTTTGTTTTACTACCTGTTCATGTGCAGCTGAGTGATCATAACACGTCATGTCTGTTTTAAAGAAGTTTTCCTCTGGATGAACTGTGGACACAGTGAAATCAGAAAGATCAGTCATAGAACTGTAGTTACACAGAATGAGCAGCAGGTGTCAAACTGTGTTAACCTCCTAGTCAATAGGTTTGTTCACTCAGTGTCTCAAAAATAGAAATGTAGATGTTAACACATGGACAATAAAATAAATATATATATATAAATATATATCATAGGAAGCATCAAGTATTGTGCAGTGAGTCTGTTTGGGAAGTCTCATCTAGGTGGTATCAGGTAGAATCCAGCTCTCCATGGACAGTAGCCTCCATTAACTGAGATCACCTGGAGCCATTTGATTTTTAAATTCAGGAAGAAAGAAAGAAATAATATCTCGGTATGAGTATAGAATAAAAGTATGTGAAATATCTGTATATTTTTCTGTATTTAAACACATATTAACTATACAATTGACTTACATATTCAGAGGGTATTTTTAATTTATTCACAAGAGAACATCAAACACTGAACACTGAGCATCAATAATGTTTTAAATAAAGACATGTAAATGAGAAACCTGTTGAAAAAACAGCAAAGTGCGAGGGCATTATGCTCACAATAAAACACTGTTGTATTACTTATGATCTATGGAACAACAGAACAGCGTGAAAAAAAGCATGTTCATTTGGTGACCTAGACATTATTTTTAGGTCATGATGATAATAATAATAATAATAATAGTAATAATAATATAATAACACAATAATCTGTAGATGTAATATGATAGGTTTGTACGATAGGCTGTGATACAATGTCAATATTCATAAAACACAACTGAATCAACAAAAGAACAGCCACTACCACAAGCTGTCTGTTTGAAAGTTCATCTGGAATTAAATAAAGTTACAAACCTCTACATTCTTTCTCAAGTTGGATGGCAACTTCATTTAAATGTAGGGGAGTCAGAAGTACAAAATTTGTCTTAAAAGTGTTGTGGAGTAAAAGTCATGTTAAAAAAAAAAAAAAAACCCTTTGGAAAAATACACTGAAGTACAGTATTCAAATAAATGTATTGACTACTGTTTTCATTGTGAAAGCTAAACATTGAATAGTAAATTTGTTTTGTCAATGAGAACCGAAAAGAAGACATCTAGCTGAATTTGATTTTACTTCCCAAAATCTAAATACAAGAAAAAAAACCTGTTTGTGTAAATGCACAAACAAAAAAAAAGAAAAAACAAACCTCGGTCATACTGAATATGAATGTGTTATGTAGACCTACTGAATCCACAGATAAATAAAAATGTAAATAAATAAGAGCTTTATTTTTAAATGAAAATGACATTACTTCCTGTTAAACAGAATACCCAGTTTTATTGGAGGTGAAGCAGATCTGAGGACAGACACCGCTGCAGTGTCCTCCTACACTGAAGCCGTCTGTCCTCAGTGTTGTGGTGAAGACGGAAGTAGTAGGAGGACTTCCCTCTGGCCAATAATTCATTCCTTGTGGACAGAGTTTAAGGAAAACACCTCCACCTCCTCAGACATGTCTACCGCCTACAGGAACAGGTGAGACACACACAAACCCTTGTTGTTTCAGGACGGATGGTCAGAAACTTGTGGTGCATCATTTAATATAGCAGCTAGCATCCTTACCGCAAAACTGACATTAACTTCAGTGTTAGCTAGCAGCAGCTCAGCTAACCAAACATATGCTAACTTTAGGTTTTAGACTGAAGCTGCAAGAAACACACACTTCGTATATGCTATTGTGAGTTTTCTCAGTTTGAGACGTCACATCTGGGCGTTTTAGGTGCTAACTGATCCAGCAACCTCATCGTTTTAAGTGGCTACGTTAGCTCCTTGTTAGCGCATCAGCTGACACATCATACTCTCATACTTCCTCAAGCCTTAGCCGTTTAGCAGCTAGCTATCATCCAGCTAACTGAATCTGCTGACAGTGTGTTTCTGACAGGGTGGAAACTAATGTGGATTATTTACAGTTGAACTGACGTTAAATGAGCTAATGACTGATTAGCCTGTTCAGAAAAATGTTTTAATCCATTCTCCATGGATTTGTCATTGTCTCAACTTATTTGTATTACAAACCACAGTGGAAATCTATATTGTTAATTATGAGGAAGAACAACTGAAAGTAGTTAGTTATATATGTTTTGAGCATCTCTTTTTATTTTAGATGTTGTTTTTATCCCGTCAAATATAAACCATCCCATTACTATCCTCCATCTCAGCCCATAGTTAACAGGTTCTGTTCTGGCTCATGATGAAGTGGTGATCTGTCCAAGTTTGATTAATATTTTCATATTCATCATGTGAATGGTAAATTTTGCATTTCAGTTTCACTGAAAAATTCCTCATAAAAATTAAGATGAGGCCTATACCAAACAAACGTGTTCCTTTACATCTGGAGAATATAATTTATAGGTTGCTGTGTCTCTGTAGCACCACAATGCTTCCTTTGTGGTCAGTTGTGACACATTTGAACTGAAGTGTGACACACTGAAGTCCCAGCTCCTGTGATGTGGATATTGCACTTGGCCATATTAAGATTTTGATAGTATTCTGATTTAATTGTTCAGCCCTAAATGAATGTAAATATGCAGATGGGTCTTAACTGAAAAAATGACAGATCTTATGGTAGATAATTCAATTTTTATTTCTATAGCACAAAATAACAGAGGTTATCTCAGGGCTCTGTTCATGTACAGCAGGTCTAGACTCAATAATATTATTACAGAGACCAACATTCACCCATGACCGGCTGGGATAGAATATGCGTTAGGTCAAATAATACAGGCTGTAAGCTTGTCAAATGATAAAAATACAAAGAATATGTTTTATTGACCACTAAATACTAGGTACAGTCAGTTATGGGAGAAATAAAAGCACAGATTCTCTCATTTTATTATGAAATACTGGATCATTTTACCTCTTATGGCCTTCAACAGTTTATTTGAGTTTATTTTATTTCAACAGTTGACATTTAAATGAAACCTTTAATGGAACCACAAAGGGCCTTAATTAGAATTTTGTGTCTAATCTTTAAAATTGCTACTTAATCCATATTGATATGATACGGTGAATTATTTCCCTCTGAGATGAAGCAGAGTTAAAGTATTGGTATTGATGATTATTAATCTAAACTCTTTCTCTAAACTTCCCGTCACTAAAGATTTATTCCAGAGAAAACAGACCATGAGTTAACAATAATGATTCTTCCATCACATTAGTGTGAGAGTTGTGCTGTTGTTACTGAGCAGTGATGCTGTCATTAAACTGGTCCTGACCTGGTCTTGGTTCTGGTTTCAGAATACAGGAGTTCAAAGTGGCCTTAAGTGAAGAAAACATAAACCTGAAGACCCTAAGGGAGCTCTGCTTCAATGGTAACTGTCACACCTCCATGTGTTTTGTCTTGATGATATTAGTGTAGTTTTATTATGTTGCTGTGTTGTGTTTGACCTTCTCTTTATTCAACTCAGGAATCCCATTTGAAGGAGGCATTCGAGCGCTCTGTTGGAAGGTAAGTCGTCCTGCTTCTGTTTCAGTAACGATATGTTTATACCACAATGAGCCTAATGCATGACCTTTTTCATATTCTTGACCTAAATGTCAGGGCTGGACATTGACACTGATCAGTGACTAGTATAAAGCTGTTTCAAATTTCAACATAATATAAAACAGTGTAAAATACAGGCCTAAGTTTTTAGCAAAACAAAGATGTGAAGCGCTTACAAGGCGTCGTCATAAGTCTCTCCCATACAGATACACATGGACTGTCAGACTTTAATGATCACTGAGCACAGACAGAGCGAGACTGACAGTCTGTCACTGATTCATCTGTTGGTGTTGACAGGACGTCAGACTGACAGCTGTGGACAGATGTTAGTTGCTGTTCACTCTCCAGCAGGGACAGACTGAATAAAGTAGAATCCACACACTGTTAAACCAAGTCACATTTTATGTATGCACACCAGTATCACAAATCACAGATCTTTGCCTCAAGGGGCTTAAACATCTGTACAGCATCTGGAATGAGGCATGACAGAGAGAGAGTTCAGGATGGTCAATGGTCCTGCACAGAGAGGGAGTGAGGAGAGGAGGAAAAAGGGAGGGGGGGGGGCACACTTTGAATGCTCATGTGCTTGAGGTGATAAACAAACAGAGGGTTAGAGAGAAATCCCATAGTTAGTACAACATGGACTCTACTGTACATACAAGGTTCTAGGTTTTAGAAGGGCAGACAGGTATGAAAAGCCTGCACATGAAGTCTGACCTGACATGGACAGAGAGACGAGAAACTAAAACTGGTGTAATATGGTCACATTCTCTGAATAATCAGGGCTCAGTGAAACAGAGGTGTGAATTAGGCTCCTAGCACCTGTCAGACTTTAACAAGTCACACAGTTGTGGAGAGCAGTAACTGAGTTACTGTGACATGAGCTAAATGGTGTCTGTGTCGGGCTGATGACCAGCACCCAGTTTGATCTGAATTTAGCAGCAGGATTTTGTGACACTCAGGCCTGTAATTAGATAACTTGAAAACGATCATGTGCCTTTACTTTCAAAGTCTGGATAAGTTCAGGGTGGGAGATCATGTGTGAGAGTAGTGGAAACCCTGGAGTTGACAAAGCCGTTTAAAGAACCTTTTATCGGGGCATCGTGTGGCGTAGTGGTCTAGGCGGGCGCCCCATGTGTAGAGGCCGCAGTCCTCGCTGCAGTTGGCCCCGGTTCGAGTCCCGCATCGGACGGCCTTTGCTGCATGTCATTCCCCCTCTCTCTGCCTCCCCATTTCCTGTCTCTCTCTACTGCACTATCAAATAAAGGCATAAAAAGCCCAAAAAATATACTTAAAAAAAAAAAGAACCTTTTATCCACCCACGTACACGCATACTCAAACATCAAGGGCAGACGATCCGTCATGCAAACCAGCTGGAGGACACTTCCAGATGTGGACAGGGAGGAGAGCTGCAGCCAGCTCAGATAAAACATTCACATTTCATGAAAACATATCTGACTCTTCAACAGGAACAAACCACATACAGAACACTACACTTCTTCTTTTATCTGAAGACTTTTAAACATAAAAACGTGGTTTGAAACCATGAACATATCCACTACTCCACACTAGTTTTTTAAACATTTCCTAAAGCTTAATTCAGAATGTACGTTGTGAGTCTAAAATAAATTTTAGTGGGTTTGAACACCAGGTGGTAATGATGCTTCTGTCAATGGGTGCTGCAGTGTGGGAGATGTTCACAACACATTTTGGGCAAAGCAGCATTTTTACATCTTTATTCTACAATAAAGAAGATTTGACTCCATGGACTTGTAGCATGTTGTGATGTGTGTTGTTGACTGGAGCTTGTTTCACCCTGTCCTCAGATCCTTCTTAACTACCTCCCTCTGGATCAGACATTGTGGGAGTCGTTCCTGAAGAAGCAGAGGTCAGTGGGGACATGTTACTGATCACACAGCCTGTAGGTTTAGCAGCCACTGCTTCACTTCTATTCGGTGGAACCTTTATTTAGTGTCACTAGGCAACCACACAATCACCTGCTATCAACCAGCACAGCTGATGACATTAGCTAATGTGGTTAGCTGATCAGAAAAGAAAAAGACACTCTCTTTAACTGTGACTAACCAAACCTGCTGCTGTTTATTATGATCTCAGTGTTTCCTCCTCCTTGTTTATATCTGAGCTGACAGAAAGGTTTTCACCTCAGCTTCTTCACACTGGACAGTGAATGTTAGATGAGTGTTTTTAATGCTAGGATATGAACAAAATAATTATTTTATTGATAAATTGATTAAATGTTTAGTCAATAAACGTTCAGAAAAAGTTGGAAAATAGAGATTATAGTTTCCCAGAAGCGTCTTCATGCTTGTCGGCTTAACCCATCGAGACCTGATGCATCCTCTAAAACCTTGAACTCGACCTGCTCTTAAACCTTTGTTTCTCTGAAACAGAAACATGAAATAAAAACCATCTGACACTTCTATTGTAAATCATTGGCCAGTACTATCTGCTTCTCCCACTGGTGGATGGTCCTGACTCCACCACCCCCCCTACCCCAAGTATCTGTTTTCCTCCTAGACTGTAAAAAAAAAAAAAAGGAGGAGAAGGGGAAAAATATTAATACCTAACACCCAACTGGGATGAAAGGGAAAAAGAAAGAAATTAAAAATGTGTATATATACATGTATATATATATCTACTGTAAACATATATAGAAGGTTTGACTGATGGGTTCTCTCACAGGGACGTGTACTCCCAGTTCTTAAAGGAAATGATCATCCAGCCCGGCATCGCCAAAGCCAACCTGGGCCTGTCCAGAGAAGATGTGACCATGGAGGACCACGTGAGTCCAGTCTCCTTTTGTCCTGGTGTTCACTAAGATGAGGCCTGAGTGAATGAAGGGTCTGCTGTGTGAGGTAGAGTGTACCTCAGTGACTCGGTGTGATTAACACACAGCTCTTATAGAGGCAGTGAGCAGACTGTTCTTTTCTGATGTGACTGTTTAACTGAGCAGCAGCTCTACAGCTCCTGAGACTGTACGACAGCTGATGTTAAGATTCAACACTAACACACAGCAGAGAGAGGAAAAGTCCAGACACACTGTTTAATGTTGTGTTATGGTAAATATTTAACTGTGACTGTGTAACTGCTCCGCACACAGCTGATTACAGTCACATAACTTTATACTGTGTGACAGTCCAACCTTCAACAACCTGCCAGCAGTTTCTCCTGCAAGGCTCCAGAAAAAAAAAAAAAAAACTTGAATTCATCTGGGTTATAAAAACAACTAATTGAGGAAAGATTTTGTATTTGTGGTGTATTAACAGTGATTATAAAGAGCATAATTTTAAATTGAAGTCTATGAGAGGAAGGATTCATCTCAGTTCAGACCACAGACTGTAAATAAAGATGGACGTATCCTCTGTGACGTCACCCACAGGTTTCTGAAGAGCAGTTCTGAGGCTGTAAACATGTTTATTTCTGCTGGAAAGTTGGACATTTTAACATGGGAGTCTATGGGGACTGACTCACTGTTGGAGCCAGACTCTAGTGGCCATTAGAGGAACTGCAGCTTCTGGTTCTTCAGTGTTGGCTTTCTAAAGCTCGCTGCTCTGACATGCAGCGACAGACTTCATTCAAACTGTAAAATGCTCTTGAGACTTCGACCTTTCACAGTCGTGATCGGTGTCATGATAGGTTGATGCTCTTTGACAGAATTAAGACCTAAAGTTGACAGTTGTCCAGCTGTTTTCATCAGTCGGTCATGTGATCACCCAGACTGTGGCCCTGTGGTTTTTCTAGCCCAGGAGAAATTTCTAACCTACTCTCACGCTATAAACTACGAGTTTATACAAAACCTTAAAATGAAGCTACAGGCCTCTTCTCTCTCAGAATGTCTAAACATCTAAACATCAGTAGTTACAGGTCTTCACATATAAGCTTTAATACACAGGTAGAGCACTGTCCCACTCTCATTCACTGCTGTATAAACTGCACACTGACTGCCACTCACAGATTCTGCCTTGATTTTAACACTAAATATGAAACACACTATCAGCTCAGCTCTCACTGCAGCTGATAATGTAAACACTTCGTTCATACGTGGGACAGATTGTGTCTGACTGGGGAAGAAACTGAATCTGTCTCTGTTTTGATTTGAACTTTTTCAGCCTCTAAATCCAAACCCAGACAGCAGGTGGAACACCTACTTCAAAGACAATGAAATTCTGCTGCAGATTGACAAGGATGTGAGGTATTACTCTATCCCTTTGTTCTTGTTCTAGTCTGTGATTATAGAAACACCACAGCCTGGCTGTATGTAGAAGAAATACATTTCTTCTGACCTATTGAAGGGATCCAGGTAGCTGAAAAAAGTGTTTGCATGTTTCCAGGCGGCTGTACCCGGACATGGCGTTCTTCCAGCGCCCCACCGAGTACCCCTGCCAGCTCATCTTGGACCCTCAGAATGATTATGAGACGCTGCGTCGACGAGTTGAACAAACCACCCTGAAGGCTCAGACTGTGAACCGTAACCGCAGTGGAGTCACCAATGTAAGTGACTGTTTCACTGTATTTCAGGGGGTCCTATATATTAGAGGGTCCAGAGAGGCAGCCCTCTCCTTCCCTCCAATAAAAGGGTTTTTAATTTGGAGGGACTTTTATTCAGGGAGAGGTTAATATTTTTGTACAACATCCAGACCGTTTCAGGTGGAGTCTGGAGGAGGGAGGTCCTGGGCTTGGCAGGATTTTGATCTAGAGAATGAAAACAATGTTGTACGTAGCTGCTGATGATGAATGATTTCTTATTTTTACACTAGTCGACTAGTCTACATTTAAATTTCAGTGTAATGGACAGAGATTAGTCTTTAGGAATGTCCTGAGAAATTGAAGGATAATCAAATTTGACTTCATAATTTATGAAATATAAATTCACTTTCAGCGCCTGCTGTCACACGGCTGTCCAACAGATCAGCTTCACAGAAAGAGAAACTATTAGATTATTGTTTTCAGGTTACTGCTAATGTCCAGTTTTCTTTCATAGGGATTTAACATTGAAATCTCTTCTTGTTTTTCCTTGTATTCCCTCAGTAGCATTGTTTTTCAGTTAGACTGTATCACTGTACTTTGTCGTAAACATTGTCTGCTTGGTTTGGAGAGCTGGTCACTTCCTGGTAACCTGAATCTGTTCTCTCAGGTGAGCTCTCCTGGAAAGGCCTTAAACCTGTATCCATCTAATGAGTATGAAGTGCTGCCCAATGGGAGTGAAGCACACTGGGAGGTGGTGGAGCGCATCCTCTTCATCTACGCCAAACTCAACCCTGGGATCGCCTATGTGCAGGGCATGAATGAGATCGTCGGGCCGATTTACTACACGTTTGCCACGGACCCCAACAGTCAGTGGAAAGGTCAGTGACCCCTGAGCTGAACATCATTCACCGTGTTTCACCCGTAAGGAATTAAATGTAACCCTGGTGTGATTCTGCGTCACTGTTCAGAGCACGCTGAAGCTGACACCTTCTTCTGCTTCACCAACCTGATGTCGGAGAACAGAGACAACTTCATCAAGAGCCTGGATGACTCCCAGTGTGGCATCACCTACAAGATGGAGAGTGTGTACTCCATGCTCAAAGATAAAGACATGGAGCTCTATCTCAAGCTGGTGAGGTCGAGGCTTCGTGCCCATTGTTTGCCCGTTCTCAGATGCTTTTAGGGGCATTTAAGTTTTAAACTGTCTCCAAACCTCAGTGATATGAATCAGAAATCAAGCTGTCAGTTCAGACCTTATGTTTTCAGCTGTAACAGCCACTGGTTCCAGCTGTGTTCCCTCTCTTTTACAGCTGTGGACTCTGTGTGACCACAGCAGCTCAGTCACAGCTCCTCTCTTGGTTCTGCTGTCTGCCCATGACAGCTCTATGCTGCTGGAGCAGCTCGGATCTCTGACGCATGAATTCACTTGAGATTGTAGATCTCGGTGATGAGACCAAAAAATGGAATCATAATAAAACTTTTCTCGAGGTTGCCGTGTAAACATGTTGGTCGTGACTGACAACATGTTGCGTAATGCAGATGGTGGAGCGGCTCAGACCCTAAAATAGGTCTGATGTTTGAATTAGCATTCTAACAAATGATTATTTCCTTGATTGATTATTTATTGATTATTTGTTCACAGAGCTCAGTGACTGAAACCTAGAGATAAATAGTTTACTATCAAACAAGACAAAGAAAGGTGAATCCTCACGGTTGAAAATCATTCAATAACTCAGAGTTGAGGAAGAAAGTGAGATGGAGGCAGAGTCTGAGCCTCATAAAGGATAGGTTCACATCTTCTGTCTTAAAACAACACTCACAACAACTTGTACAGTGTTTAGTTTACTTTTTCTGTCAGGAGATCCCTTCTTATGTCACTGCTGTCTAAGTTCCTGTCTTAAGGGAACAAAACCCACAGTCCTCATTCTATGTAAAAATGTATTCAAATATGGATTTTCATTTTGAATTCTTTCTGTGTGACCAACTCTCGTTTACAGACCAATAACCGTTAACCAACGAGATTAAAATGTACTATTTAGAAAAGACGAGTGTCCGTAACCCTTTAAAAAATACTAATACACAGGGGTTAATGTGGACCGCACCAATCCAGAACTGCATTAAGCCACCTTTGATTAATAAGTGAATACATCTGGAGTCTGAGAGTGAGACAGACGAGCACACACAGAAGCAGGAGACAAGCCCCTCCCACAGATCGCCACACAATGCGATGGTCCTTTTCTCTTTATCTAGCTCTACGTGTGAAGCTGCTCACCTGACACAGAGTCAGACTGGCATTAAACCTCAAACTAAAGTGAACAGGTTCAGTGCTCAGCAGAGCAGACAGCTGGTGTCCTGGTTTTTATTCAGACACAGCAACATGTGGACGTGATGTGGGTCGGTCTGTTAACTGTGACACCTGCGGTGGAGAACATCTGCTCAGATGCTTCTGATGTCCCAGGATATTTAACTGTTTAATGGATAAGATTAATATGTCAAATTCTTATTATGGGATAATGGTTAATTATGAACAACACTAAAAGTTCAACTGAAGTTCATATGTGTCCTGAGCTGCCTGGGTTAGTGTAATGAAGTGTCTGTTTTTAATGGTACAGATCTTCCTCAGCTCTGGAGGTCAGTGATTAAGTTTTTAGTGCAGTCTTCATATAATAGTAAAATGTCCCGACTGCTAATGAACAGTAACCTTTGTAAGTCCTCCAGTCATGTGAGGGTCCTGTGTGTCCTCTGAACAGCTTCCGTCAAATTCAGTGACTTTCTTTTTCCTCGTGTGTCCTCTCAGGAAGAGCAGAACATCAAGCCTCAGTACTTCACCTTCCGCTGGCTGACCTTGTTGTTATCTCAGGAGTTCCTCCTGCCAGATGTCATCCGCATCTGGGACACCCTGTTTTCTGACGAGGACCGGTTCCACTTCCTGATCCTGGTCTGCTGCGCTATGCTGGTGTGAGTTTCTCAGACTCTGTTCCCTCCTGCAGCAGCGACTCTGACTCTGTATGAGAATCATGGCTTATTTTCTGTGTGTTCACAGACTGATCAGAGAGAACCTACTGGCAGGAGACTTCACAGTCAACATGAGATTACTGCAGGTGAGACTTATTAACGACACACAGTGAAACATATTCACACAGCTGAGATGAACTGACACAGACTGATGTATCTCCCTGATGCCCCTGCAGGATTACCCCATCTCTGATGTCCACACCATCCTGACCAAGGCCAAAGAGCTGCAGGACAACTCCTAACCTGTCCACCCTGTCCCCCTGCCTCCCGCTCTGACGTGGTAGGTGGGAGCTCAAACATTACAAACATTGTCATGTCAAACGTGTCATGGGAGGATCGATGAAGACCCTGGACGGATGAGCTGGGGCAACCAGCACTCTGCTTTTTAACTTGATGTGTGATTGGTCAGTGGGGGCTGCTGTGAAAAACTGGAGGACGTGCTGAAACAAATGCCTCCTCAAAGCAAGCAGGAGAGGCCACTTGCTTCCTGGTGGATTGTGGGTAAGGGCTGCCTCGGTACACGGTCCTCCTCCTCTCACAGCCGTCTCTCCCACGGAAACATGTTGTGCTCAGATAACTGTCTGAGGCAGAGGGAGCCACATTTAACTTACACTACCGATGTTAGTCTGTCATGAAGACCTGGTTCCAGACCTGGAGCCTGAGAATTTGACATAAATCCCACTGCGATCATGTGTGTAGAGACGGAGCGTTTAAATGGGTTGAGCAATAGTGTGTGTTTTTTAATTTTTAAATGTTTTTTAATGTCAGAAACATGTTTGCCTTAGCTGTTCAATGATGACAGTACAGTAATGACAGTATTTCTGGGTTTATTTCCTGTCTGGTTAAACATGAAGTGATGGGTCTGTTGGATGTTGTATAAGTAACCTTCAGAGAATCATGACTTCCTGGGCATCATGTCTCAACAGAGCCGCCCAGTCCAAATGGAAATAAAAGTCCTTTTACTTTGAAAGAATCAGAGGAAACTGTGGAGCTTTACACACTGAACATTCTCCAACCTGGGTTTACATGTGTTACATAATAGTAGTTTATCTTGAGTAATTTATAATGTGGCACGGAGAATCGTTATTTTACTGACTCTAACAGACATTAGTGTGATATGACATCAGTGGGTTAACAGATGTTTTAGTTGATAAAACTATTTTAGTGTTTTTTCCTTTTTGAGAAATATAAAATGTTTCTCTACAATTTCCAAAGAAGCTGAAGCTCTGATTTTTAAACACAAACACGTTTATAAAATTATCTAAAATTGCCAAATTTAAATTCTGAACGATCTGAACAGAACAGACCTTAACTGCACATGACACACAGTCAGATAAGTCCTGTTCACACCTGTTCACACCTGTTCACACCTGGGGGACCTGTGTCAGGGAGGAGACCAAGGAGCAATAGTCAGTGCACCAGAGCTGTTTGCTGCTCCAGCCGCCTCCTCTTCATTTACATGGCTCAACCTTTTCAAGTTAACTAGGTAGGTCTATTAAAATCACTGTGTATGTTATTTTTACTTTGTCTCTAGTGACCACTTGTGATTACATTCCTCCTGCTTCATATATAAATAAACACACGTGTCGGTGTTTTTAACCAGTCAGACTTTTCGGTTCATGATGAAACTGTGTTGGGACTAACCAGACTGTGTCAGGAGACGTCAGTAGAGTAGTTGAGTAGAATGTGGACACGTGGTCCAGACCAGCTCCTAATGTGGTCTGAGTGATTAGATCTCAAATGTGACCTCAATGTGCTCTGGGTGCGTTCATACCTGAACTTAGAGCTGACCACTGATGATCAGATGAAGACAAATTTGAACGGGTCCGAACAGGTCCGAACAGGTCCGAACAGGTCTGAATGGGCCAGGGCATGTTAAAAAGCTTACTGTTTAGTTTGAACCTCTTGTCTCTATTAGATTAAAACGTGAAACAGTGGAGTGGACTGAACACAGATCAGCTGTTGTTCTGAACTCAAACCTGCAGCTGTTTGTTTAAGGAAATAAAACACTTTTTAACTCTTGGTTAATATCTAGACTAGTCCTGTGGGTTAAACATACAGATTAACCTCTTGGTTCATTTTCAGTGTGAAAAAGCTCGTGTTGATTCCCCCCTCTTTATTCAGTTCATCACGTGATACAAACATATAATCTGTGTGGCAGGTTGGTCATGGCTTCATTAACTACAGATTAATCTTAAACCTACCACAGCTGTAACATCCAGTAACCAGCTGGTGCCAAGTTAACAGGTGAATCTGTGGAGGTATCTATACTTTGACCTCATTGACTCTCAGTGGTGTGAAGGACTCAGATCTGTGATGACCATGAACCTGAACCAGGATGAAACAGGAAGTCTTGATCTCATCTTGTAGATAGTTCAGACTTTTCAGACATGACCCTTCACACAAGCCCAGAACAGTAAGAGACACTGTTTCCAGGGCAACTGAAGAATTTCTGTAATGTATGATTTTTTAAAATAATTTTTATAAACACTCCTCTGAAGTGGGATGGGGCATTAAAACTCATGATTTACCCCGTCGGATTGTTCTGCCACAGAAGATCAGACTGGACCACCCTCTTCACACACTATTGAATTGTGGTCTTTAATATTGTGGAGGGCTGTGTGTGTTTGTGTGTAACATACAGTGTGTAACAGTGCAGTGCTTTGAAGGTGTTTTAATAAGCTGCTCAAAGATCACGTTTATCTGAAGAGCTCTTTCTTTAAAACTGAGGAGGATATTCTGAACTGTGTCATGCACTGCATCACATCACGTAACCAATCAGAACTGTTGCATTAGACATCAGATACAGGAAACAGGAAGTTGAGAAATCTATTCAGTGTTTTCAAATGTGAAACCGGTAAATTCCAGTGAGTTGGTCAAAAGCTGTTTTATTTTTAATGCCACATTTTATTAAAAAATTCATTCTATCCACCATTCTTTATATAAAACTCTAACTGTAAATCATCCAAGAGGCTTAGAGTCAAATGATGGATCATGAGTTAATATTCAGTCCATAGGAGGCAGGACCTCAGACTTCAGGATGATTTAAACACCAAACTGTAAACTGAATAAAAACAGTTTGGAAGCTCTGACCGTCAGAGAAGCTGAAGAAAAGAACAAAACCAGAAGTGACTTGTTAATCCCCTCGATCGGTTGTGAGCCCAGGACTAACACAAATAAAACAAAAATCCATCAGGGTGTAAAATGTGTGCAAATGACAGAGTTTCAGCTCAGAATTCAGCTCTCTGAGTGTAGGAGAAACCAACATATGTCATATCTCATGTCACATGCTTTGAGCCTCATTCAGATTGAAATAAGAATAATGGAGACTTCATTAACGTGGCAGTTGTACATCAGTATAGTAAAAACTGTGTTGGAGATGAGACCTTTAAACTCCAAGTTTCCAAAGTTTATGTGTTCAACAGTAACTGGACAGATTACATGAAGCTAAACTAAGTCATAATATTTAATAATAAGTGGAAAATCCTCTGCAGTCAATGACTCTACTGGTAAACTCACATTAAAGCTGAGACTTGGCACTTTAAATGTCCCATATTTTCCTCTTCTCTGTGTTTTATTTGAAGTGTTGATCCACAAGAAGATATATTTGTGGTTTTAAGAACCAAAAACCATCGCAGTGTAGTTTCACATCTCCTCTCTCAGGCTTCTCTCTGGAGCTCTAGTAACAACCAGAAGTCCTGACGGCGGGGTTTAAGGCTCAGTTTCTGAATACAGGCTGTGTGCATTTCTCTGTGGACTGAGGCTTTGACACTTTCACAGTATTATAAAAACCTAGTCTATAAATAAATCCATAATTACAAAGAGAAAACTTTTTTTCAGAAATGTATGCAAATTATCAGAAATCAAAAACGGAAATCTCATTTACTGAAGTCTTCAGACCAAAGTCTTCTATCACAGTGATTTTATATCACAGTAACACATTGATTGTTCTATAAATTCAATTACAGTATGGTTTAATATAACCATACTGTGCTGTCCATGTGACAGAAGTTGTTTCTGTTTCAGTAACGAAAAGCAAACTGGAGGAATTATCAGTCATAACTTCCATAATAATTAAATGTTGTGTTTGATTTCCAGGAAAATAAGATCTGTAATAAGAAACGTAACAGAGCTTTAGAAAAATATGCCTTTTAAAGAGCTTAATTTGAGAAAAATGAAATAAAAAGTGAAGCTTTTGTTTCTTTTTTTCTTGTTTAACTCCATTTCACATGTGAACAGTCTCATTAACGTTCACATGTGAAAGAGTGGAGAGACACAGTCATATCACCAGCCCTGTGATCTGTGTCCAGACAGACGAGTCCAGAATATTCTGTTCAGTTTGAAAAGAGCGGGAAAACAAATAGTTTGTGCCTGACAGTGTTTTCACCATGTGTAGAAGTGTTGAATCTTTGATGGACTGTTACTAATGAATCCACATGATCCTCCTGTAATGTGTATTTATTTCTATCCGTGCGTGTGTGTGCTTGTGTGTGTGCGTGCGTGTGCGTGTGTGTGTGTGTGTCTCTCTCTCTCTATACTACCGGAGTTATTTGCATGTTTCCACTCTTTTCTAAGCACAGTTTTGTATCGTCTTTGTGTTACACTTGTACATATGTTTTTACATGTTTGCAGACATGCATTAAAATGAATGATGGTATTAAACAAACGGCTCCTCGTTGTGAAGCGGTCTCATTAAACCAGATTCAACCAGATTACGCCTCGCGTTTGTGTGGAGGTGGCTCCGCGTTTCCCCCTGTGGCCGCTGGGGGCAGTGATGAGCTCCTGTCGGCCTGACGTGAAGAAGACGTCAGAACGGACCTCCTCGGCGGGGCTGTGTGAACCGGTTCAGAGAGGTGGTCCGTGTCTGTTTGGAAACGGTATTACTCGGTTTTAGAGACGGAGAGACTGAGGGACCAGGACTGGGTGTTTTGTTCTGGTTTACTCCCTGTACAGCTGTTTCACTGACCTCGGAGCCGGTGTGGTTTTCCATAAGCTGCTGCAGGTCAGTACTTACTGCTGTCTGGGTTTACTTCTCTCTGCACTTTCTCCATGAAACTGTCATTAAAATAGACAGTTTTCATTATCGCTAATAACTTCTCTAATGGTAATTAAAAGTTCTGACTTCACAAGGACAAACAGTCCTCAAGTTTAACTTTATTATTGTCTTTAATCCTTAAATCGACTGTATTAAAGTTTATTAGCTGTTGTGTGAAGTGATGACGTCAGCATTTGCCGTTAATAATAATAATAATAATCCGGATCTTTAGAAGAAAAATCTGATTCCACATACCACATAGCTGTACTTGTAATTAATACTGAGTAACAGTGCTGATGATGACATCAGCATCTCATTCAACATGTAACTAACAATAAAATTCACCCAAATAACAAAGTGAAATTTCCCGGACCAACATATACCTGGATCCTTGGCCCGAGTCTGGCCCATATACTTCCACATCTGGGCTGATTCTGGCTGTTATCCTCCAGTATTGTCTGTCAGCTGGAAGATTTTCTGTGTGCTGCCAGAATTGGTCCAGATGTGCAAGTAGCATCTGACAACCATGCTGTATATGAACCAGATTTGTACACAGGGTCTGAAGAAAACAAGCATGTGGCCCAGGCCGGATTTATTTTGCTATCTGGAACACAACTACAATGGGTCTGAGTAGAGCTCAGACCTCCACCAAGACCAAACAGTCCTACACGTGGATCTGCACCAAACTGTACAAACTCATAGATCTCGTCACCATTAATATGTCTGATTTTTTACATCAGGAGCCAAACTTTATTCCCTGAGAAATTAATTAAAGTTTTGATTAGTGTTCTATCATGAAAAGGGATAAAAGATTCTTGGATCTGCCCTTTTAACTGAATCAACACCAAAATCTACCGGGTTCTTTACTCGTCCGTGTCCCATCCGTCCACCACGTCTGGTGCAAATCAGTTCAGTAATCTTTGTGAAGTCCTGCAGACAAACAAACAAACATACAAACAAACAAAAAAACAGAACCTCCTTGGTGGAGGTAACAATCTGACAGAGCTTGAGAGGATCAGCAGAGAAGAACAGCAGAAAATCCTCAGATCCAGATGTGTACAGCTGGAGGCTGTAATCACTGACAAATGAGCTTCAACTGAGTACTGAGTGAAGAGTCTGAATACTTATGTCAATGTGATATTTCAGTTTTTACTTTTTAGTAAGTCTGCAAAGAAATTCTAAAATTCAGTTTTATCATGGTCATTATGGGATATTGAGGGTAGATTGATGAGGAAACATGGATATAAATGATTTTATCATAACAGTGAAACATAACACATGAATGATAATAGATTCAGGTCGACCTGACAGTGACAAGTCGACAGGTCGACCTGTTGTCCACGGATCAGGTTCTCTGTAGAGAGACCAGCGGACAGACTGAGGCCACGTCATCTGACTGAGACTTAAACCTGGTTCCTCCACAGTGCCGAGTGAGAACTGTTCATGCTCTGTTCATCAGTGTCTGCTGTCATAGGTTGACTGTTGATGTACTGCTGTGAATTGTGACTGTCTGATGAAGAAGATCCTCCATAACTGATGAATGATGCATCAGTTTCGGACTAACTGTTGTCTGTCTGCTGGATTAGTGGACCCACTCTGCTGTGTTCGGCCTGCTGTGGTCACATGTTCACCATGAAGAGCTTTGTGTGTCACAGTTCAGCTCTGGACCTTTTGAAATCAGTCTGTCACTTTAACATCTCAGGTTTTCACCCTGGTTCTTACACTTTCACAGAGACAGATTACCTGAAGCTCCTGTGATCAATATTTTATATCAACAATAATGTGAATAAGAGTCATCACTCTGCAGTTCCCCTCAGCTCTACAGATGTTTTTAGTTTTGGGACAGTCTTTATGACATTATACAGATTTTATTTTTGAATCTCTGTTTGTTGCATTTTTTTAAATGATGAGCTTACAAAAACACACGTGATGCAGTATTTTACACTGTAATAGCCCAGTGCACATATAGAGGAGGTGTGGACTCCTTTTAATATAGTATCCCAAGTCATGCTTTCACCCAGGTCCTGCTCCCATCTCTGTCTAATGATGGTGAGTGAGGAACAGCGCCCTGTACAGTTTACATATTAAGCCTTTAAATGATTGAAGAGGTGCTAATAAGTTCTTTAAAGTGAGGGAAGTGTTTCCAGACAAAATCATGCATCTGCATATCAGAAAAAAATGTGAATATGACAGTATAGACAGGTTTCTGTCTGCAGGTCTACGTTTGAACAGGGAGCCCAGGTGTTTCTGTGAAGTTAAAGTCGGTACCTGTGGTGTACAACAGTGTCACACTCTTCTCTAAACTGGGTTTCCATCATGTAGGTCTGTCCGATGAAGTACTGCAGTACTCGGGGTGGGGTCCGTGGATGGGACTTCGGGGACGTGCTGTTCTCGGGGTACGCTCCAGATGGGGGGATGTTCATGCCAGAGAGTGTACCTTTGCTGCACCCAGATACCCTCAGGAGCTGGAGGGGGCTGCCCTACCCCAGACTGGTGGTGGAGGTTTCCTCACTGTTCATCCCCGCTCAGCTGATCCCCAGACAGGACCTGGAGGGTGAGCTGGAGGAATCCTCGCCGGCATCACTACATGTAGCTCAAAGGTCCCATAATATCTGCTTGTGAATAAAGAATTTAGCATTTAGAATTATGAAATTAAGTAGATATTCAAGAGCGCCATCATTTGGGGTATCATAGTAACAAATAATATCTTTAAGGTTGAAGGAGTAGAGAGAGTTAGCAGCTTCAAAAAAGTGAGTTTGATTTCACACTCAAAAAATAGGTGAGAAATTGTTTCTAAATCATGTTTATAAAAGGTACAGGGGGAATTAATGTCTGAAAATTTGGCAATAGGATAGCTAGCAGGGTATACTGTATATTATGTATATTTTAAAATGAGCCTTGATATACTGTATTTAAAAGCCAAGCCCTTCTCCAGTTTGCATTGTCAATTTTAGATCAACAGAAAAACGTGCCTCTTGGTGCCGCTTTATTCTTTCTTTGGCTTGGGGCGTGGCTGAGAGCAGTTACTGAAACCTCAATGATTTTTTTACCATGAAAGAAACATGTAAAATTGTACATAACATACATTCAAACATGGTCGCACACATGAAGAACATTAAGAACAATCAGTGAATAGTACGAATGTCCTCCTCTCCCTCCCTCAGTCCTGGTGGCTGAGGCCCTGTCTGGGTTCTCGGTGCCTGAGGTGATCCGCGTAGCTCGACTGAAGGAGGGTCTGTCGCTCCTGGAGCTCTTCCATGGAGAAACCCTGGCCTTTAAGGACCTGGCTATGACCTGCACCGTGCGTTTCCTCGACTACCTCCTGCGAAAGAAGAAGCACAGAGCCACTGTTCTCGTAGGTGAGAGGCTGCACCTCAACCAGTCTTCTCCTCTGGTCGGAGACACAAAGAATATTTACATAAATACTTGAGGTGATGATTTATCCTAACTGCCAAACTTAAACTCGCTCCACCTGTTCCTGTCCAGGTACGTCAGGTGACACAGGAGGCTCAGCCATCCACAGCGCTAAAGGTCTGTCTGGGCTGGATGTGGTGGTGGTCTACCCCCGAGGACGCATCACTCCGGTCCAAGAGAAACAGATGATCACCTGCCTGGAGGATAATGTCCACGTGTTTGCAGGTAAAAAGGACAGTGGTGGTTCTTTACCCACAATGCCACGAATCTTTGTCTCAGTGACGTCAGGCGTGTTTGTGCTGCTCCGCCTCTGCAGCCGACGGCAGCTCAGACGACATCGACCAGCCTCTGCGCCGTCTGTTCGCCGACCAGGAGCTGGTCAAGTCTCACGGCCTCATGAGCCTCAACTCAGTGAACTGGTCCAGAGTCCTGATCCAGCTGGCCCACTTCATCTACGCCTACCTGCAGCTGAGCGGGCTGGAGCACACCGAGGCTGACGCTGCCCTACCTGAGCTGGAGGTGGTGGTGCCCACGGGGGGGGCAGGAAACATTGCAGGTAGGTGATTAAACCAGACACTACACACACACACACACACACACACACACACACACACACATACACACTCTTATCTTCACACTAGAATCAGAGGTTTACTGGAAACGAGCTGCTGTGTTTGTTTGTTTGTGTGTGTGTGTGTGTAGTGTGAATGATTAACTTGATTAATCAATGAATTAGAGCCTAACTGAAAGACTGAGGACATGTTTCAGGCAGGACACACTGACATCTTACTCCATTGGTCCTTCTACAGCTCCTCAACACCTGCTGTGCCTAGATATGGTAGTTAAACTATGATTGGACAATCCCTCTTGTGAGGAAGGGTCTTTGCCCAGTCAATTATCAGAATCAAGTCCATTATTGTTGAGTTACTGCTTCCGCACTAATTTCTACAGTTTAACGCAACTTCTGCCTCTAGGGGTCTCAATCAAAACACTAACAAAAGACGAGGTTGGGTGACGTCATGATATAGCGTGTTGTCTTCACAACCATCACCATAAGCTCCTCCCGGTTTGGATTCCTTCAGTGTCAGTGGTTCAGGAAATCAAACAGACCTGGTGATTCTAACTGTTAAAATCACTGAATGAAGCAGTTTGACATTTAAAGTCAGAGTTTGAGCGACGCTGTACGGAGGACAGAGACTCAGGGAAGAGCTGGAGCTGAGATCGATGCTAACCTTTGTTCTGATTGTTCCTCTGAAAACTTATGAAGCAGACGTTCAGCAGGTTTTTACCAGCAGCTGAATTATCCACAGAGGTGTCCTCCTCTCCACAACAAACATTTCCTCAGCTGGTTTCTCTGATAACTTCAGATCCAGACGTCCGACGACTAAAATCCTTCATCTGGTTCAAATATAGAGCTGAAAACCACCAAGGTGGAAAAAGTGTATGTGGCTTAAAACTAGATAAAAGTCAATGTTGAGCTTCTGTCAGACAAACACACTGACACATGATCATAGAGGATATGATGTCACTGACAGGCGACCAATGAGACGTTACCATGATTAAAATCACAGATTCCTCTGGTTTGAGAATTGAAGGAAACATCTGAGATGATGTAAGAACACAACTCAACAACATATAGAACACAGGTCCAGTTGTTTTAAAAGTTACAGATTACAACTTTAATAGATGTTTATAGTAAATGTTTGCAGGAACAAAGACGTTAGTCTAATCACTGATTCGTTCAGTTTTGTGCCGTCATGAATTATTTGGGACTTTTGTCTATGATGTCCATGTGGAGGACGATACATCTACCCTGCAGAGACGTCCTCCTGCCTGAAGCACAGGCTCAGTGACAGAGTCAGGACACACAGACTGACCCTGTCTCTTCTTCTCTGTCTGCGTCTCAGCTGGCTTCATCGTAACGCAGATGGGTGTACCTCTGAAGCTGGTGGCCATGGTGAACTCTAATGACATAGTCCACAGGACGGTGACCTCTGGTGACTTCTCCATGACAACTGACGTCACACGGACCCTGGCCCCTGCTATAGACATCCAGGTAGTACACTCACACAGTCACAGCTGCTGATACCTGTGAGAGATTCACAGACGTTCATCTGCCCATGGACTGAAGGGAATGTGACCTATTTTAAAAAGTATTATTAATGTTTATTTACCACCGGATTTATTCTGTTAACAGTTTGACTGTGATCACATCAGGTGCCGTCAGATTTGAAGATGTCCAATAATCCTGATCAGTACAGCTGCTTTTCATTACAAACACCAGGGTTTTGAAATGACATTGAGTTTAGGTCTGTTTATATTTATTTATTCTTTTATTTGGTGAGAGCTAAGAAGAGTTGTCAGAGGACACTCTTTCTGAGAGTGAGATGAGAAGATTGACATGATTCACTCGACTGTGTTAAGCACAGAGCTGATTAGCATGATTAGCCTACTTTTGTGTAGAGACTGGAGGCAGGGGGAAGCAGCTAACGTGGCTCTGTCCGAAGTTCGAATACACACCTCTAAAGCTCGGTAACTAACACATTGTATTGTACGTGTTTGATCTGTATCTATATCTATGTGCCCAGCATGTGAATGAACCTGTTATGCTAATTCTGCCTGTCACACTGTGAGATATCCATGTATAAAGGTGACATGTAGAGCTGTGGGTGGGGGAGAAGGTTCAACCTCTGAGGAGCACCCATCTGATCAGTAACGTATTGAAGTCAGCACAGTAGATATTTCCTGAAACACCAAAGTGTGTTTGGTGTCATGGTGGCATCAGAGGAAAGACAGGGCGCTTACCAAAAACATCAGGGTTCATCCACTGGGGACAGTGAACTTCTGCACCTGTGCTTCATGTCTGGCTGGCTCGTGGTTGAGATATCTGGTTCTGGACCAAACTGTTGGACGGAAGGACTGACCGTCCACCCACAGAGGGCGGGGCTTCAGGTTCTCATGGCCACTGTGCGTGTGAGGTGGTTACGAGTTAAACGTTGTGTTACTCCTGATGCTGTGTCTCCCTGCTGGATTGTAGGACCCGTACAACATGGAGCGGGTGTTCTGGCTGCTGCTGGACGGAGACGGAGCTTCAGTGAAGAACATGATGGAGGAGTTTCAAAACACACACAGACACACTCTGCCTGAAAACCACCACAAGCTGGTACCGGCCGTTCTACATTCACTGCACCTGATGTTCGCATCCAGGTGTGCTCTTCCTCTGCGTGTCTGAGACCTCATTTCATCGACCATCTGCTTTATTTCCAGCTGTCACAGGTTCTATCCACTGGATCAGTGAGTGATGACGGGATCCTGGAGACCATGAGGAGATGCTGGGAGGAAAACCAGTACCTGCTGTGTCCACACACAGCTGTGGCTGTGTGGCATCACTACCGCTGTCCTCACAGCCCTGGACTCAACAGGTCAGACATACTGTACTCATCAGTGTAGTCACATACACACACAGCTCTGTCTTCAGTGGAAGACGTGAACCAGCAGGGGGAGGCTGGGGGCCGTGTAGGAGAAAGATGTCCGTGTTAACTTAAAGAGAGAAACACAGTCCATCATGATGTCTTATAGAAACAATTACTCATCAGTTTATCTTTGTTATTGTGGGAATCTTTGGTCATAATTATGGAGATAGTTCTATCACCCAGACATACACCCAACATTAACATCCCTAGAGATCTATGCCAGTGCGCACAGGTTGTGGTTGTGGTTCTGCTCAGTTATGATAACCTGATCCTCACCAACATCATGAGATCTGGGAACACTTTCATATAAATGACTCCAGCAGTCAGATGATCACGCAGGCTGTAAACAAACTAACAGTTTATCCAGATGATCTAAACCAGGTTAGTTGGAGGTAAATCTGACTGGCGGTAAATCTTCACTGTACAGGAAACCTGTGTTTACAGTATCGTCAGGCAAAGCTGAAGCAGGAAGTGGATCTGTGAACTTTGATGGATAAACCTCAGGGTTTGTTTAAAGTCTGGATGCTTTAATTCCTGCATCCTTCACAGGATTGTGAATGGTGTTGGACAGAGACATGTGACCAGTGTTGCCACTCCCACCTTCCTCAGGTTGCACCAACACCTGGATCACCTGTGGAGAACGGGTCTTTCCGCCACTCTTCTGAGTAATCTCTCAAACCGTTATTGCAGGTGTTACATTGCGACAGCATCTCCAGCCAAGTTCCAGGCAGCGGTTGAGAGGGCCGGCCTGACCGTTGACCTGCCTGAGGCGGTGCGGGCGTTGGACGAGTTGGCCACTCGTTACCAGAACCTGGAGCGAACCCCGGACTGGTGCAAAGACTGGGAGGAGAGCCTGAGAGAGAAAATTCGGTCTGTGGGCTCGTCCAGGAGAAACACAGGGACAGCAGCTGATTATTAAAGATGTTGTTGTGGAGGGACACAGGGTTTTACTGCAAAACCCTGACCCTGTGTGTGGAGGAGGTCAGGTGACTGCAGCTCGTCCTTGATCTGTGCGCTTCCTTATCTGATTCAGTAAATGATGTTGATGGTGGTCTCTGTGATCTTTACACTATGGAGATCAGAGGTGTTGTACACACCTGTGTTTATCTTATCTTAAAAGCCATTAGACGTCGTGTTCGCCTGTTAGTTTGACCCATATCGACTCAGCAAAATGAGACGTTTTTCACCTGAGCAGGTGCAGACAGAACATAAAGACATCAGAATGTTTAATGTCTTTAATACAAAACACCATTTGGAACCACATTACCCTCAGTTTATTAAATCTCTCATCTCAAAGGCAGCAGTGATGCTTTCGTGGACCCTGAAAAGAATCATCTGCAGCACTTCTCAGTCAGACACGTTTGTTTTGGTAAATTCTAAAATCTGCAGAAGCTTCTGTTGCTCATGAACGCCTGTGCTGCTGATCTCAGATCACAATGCAAAAGACCTTCTGAAACATAGTAGAAGAAGCAATATAATATACGTGAATAACACTGTTATCCAGTTCTGTGAAGTGTCCCAGTAACAAATGCACAACACTGAGGCCCTGAACCCATTGATAACAGGAGCAGCACCACACTGTAGAAATACTTCTTCACTGAACAAGCCATTAATGTAATTATTAGCAAAATCATGTATCAAAAGCAGAGCAATGTTACCATATATTATTTCAGTATTACTGATGCATTCATGTGTGAACAGCATTTTCTTGTTGTAATCTATAACAACACGTCACAACCTGCAGCCATGAGCTTGTTTTATGTTTTGTCTGTAAAATACAAATTTACAGAATAACTAATAACCCCAGCTGTCAGATACACGTGGTGCAGTAAAAAGTACAATGGTAGAAATCAGCAAGAAAGGAAGTACTCCAGTGCATGTGCCTTAAAGCTATATTAACTACCTACATCTGTGCTGTGAGTCAGGTCTGTTGTGTGTAACATAAATGATGTAAATCTGAATAATGCAATGATAACACTGCATTAAAAACAAGTCTGTGTAGAGTTGTACAGATGTAATGAAGTGATTTGAACAAATCCAGTGAAATAAAGAGCAGCTGATGTTGGACTTTGACATGACTCAGACTCAGTGTGTTAATTATTGACCACTGTTCACTTTCTGCACCAGTAAAGCATGAAACTGTTTGGTGTAGAATATAATCTGTCAATATATTAGGTTGTGTTGATCATAAATTGACTTTACCTCAAAATGAATATGATAAATAAAAAATCTAGCTTCTGTAATTTAACGTGCAGTCTGCGTGGTAACTTATTTCTGCCTCGAGGTGGAGCCCTGCCCACATGATGGAGACTGGACTCATTACATAAGACTGGAGGTTTCATTGATGCTAACTTGAGTAGCAGCAGGTAACAGAGGATCATTACAACACGTTCCTTAGACTTTAATGAACTGAATACATTGTGTGTTTGCGTGTGTCAGTGTTGCACTGATATTTTCGAGGTATTTATTTCCATTACAAGTGTCTAAGTCATGCAATTAAATACATAAATAAATAAAAGTATAGAAAATAATGAATAAAATGTGTATTGTGTTTTCTTAGATCGTGTGTTTTTTCCGAGGAGCCCTGAACGTAGCACGAGGTTTGACAGCTAGACAGCCAAACATGGCGGCTGCTAGCTAGAGCAGCTAAACAACACCTGTGTCTTTTATCGTCACTGTCAGCGGTCAGAAGACCAGCAGGCCCAGGAAGGAGTCACGGAAACACACGGTGAACGTCGCTCATCTCGCCCCTGTCCTGGTTTTTATTTCCCCGTTGTCCGGTATGTGACGGCGGGCTGTTAGCCTCAGAGGACGGAGGACAACAACAACGGGCTGAGGGCGGACTGTTCCTGTTTAGCTTCTTCACCTGTCTGCCGACATGTCTCACAGGTAAGACGGTGTCCCAGTGTTTGAGACGTTGTTGCTATGTGTGTGTCAGCTCATGTCTGTGTGTTTCAGTGTTGTTGTGTGTTTGTCTGTGTGACTGTCAGCTGACACGTCGCTCCTGGCAGAGTTTAAATGGCTCCCAGAGACAAGATACGAGAGGAGAGGAGATGACTTGGTTGTGATAACAGACCAGGTCAGGTAGTTAGCTCAGGTGTCTTCTCTACAGAGACCCGGGGCCACATCAGCCCGGCTATGATATGGAAACCATATTGTTGTCCATACAGTTATTTGCTAACTTATCTCTAACAGTAACTTTTCAAAATAAGAGTCACGTTTTAATTCTTGTCTATATCGGTTAATGAGACACTGGTATTCTCAGCCTGCTTTGTTGTGTCTACAGTCACCTGGACTCAAACTGGAATTGTTGATCCACCCATGGCTGATTCATATCAGATAAATCCCTTCATTTAATAATCAGCACTAGATATAGTAGGAGTACAACATCACTTTGTCTCAATAAAAAATTACCTTTTAGTTATGTCATTCTCTTTGATTTGTGAACTCTGCTCATCCTTTGTTAATGGGATGGTTGGCCGAGATGATATAGATGAGATAGAGACTATATAAATTAGGACTGCAACCAACAGTTTACCTACATTTACATCATCGATTTATCTGCCAATAATTTTCTCTACTAATTATTTAGTCTAATAAATAATGACAGTTGCTCTTCACAATATCCTACATTTATATTTACTCATCTGTCAGAGGCTTTTACCCATAGCGACTTAAAAGTGAGGGAAATCACTAAAGCTTCAGTGCAGTAGACAGAGACCTTGGTGTAAGTATTAAGTACTACATCTATTTCATAAGTGCACCTTTAATATTTATAATTGTATTAGACCACCCAGGCTAATTGGGCCAATCAGTGATGGCAGCAGTAGATTAACAGGACAGCTTCTTCAGTGTAATAGGTAAGTCGTTTTTCAGGTATTGAATGAACTGGATTAACTGGAGTACCCAAAAGTTGTCATTGCAATTAACAAATACTGATGGACTCTTGGTGCCTCATATCTTACTACAATTTATTATGATGAAATCTACCACATGTTAAGATGATTTTATGTCTCTATTTATTTCATTACTTTATGCTGTGTACTAGTTGTGTTGATGACTACTGTTGAAAACCAAATTGCTCCTCAGGGACAACAAAGACACATCCATATTTTATACTTCACAGCCCTAGAGGACGAACACATGGAAGCTTGGAACTGTTTTCCAGTCGTCTCGTTTTCATCTGTTTTTCTGTCTTCCCTCACCACAGCAGTCAGGTGCCTTCAGGCCGTCCCCTCTGAACAGACCAAGTCTGTTGCAGCTGTCCGACACACTCAGTGGCATCTGGGTGGAGACAGACATTCCACAGTTACATACCAAACATGTTGCAGGTTCCTGGGCTCGGCCCCAGTGGAGACAGGAAGTACAGTGGTCCCTGAGCTCTGCCTCACATGTTAAAGGTTTAATGTCACTTCTGACATGAATCCTTCTCACCCTGCTCTGGTCTTACGTCACCTTCTTTGATTCCTCTGCAGGTAATCTCAGGCCTCTATGTGAACCAGCCCCTCACTCCTTCCTAATCCCCACCAGCAAAGACCTCCACCTCACCCTCCACTGGGTCCCAGCTGCAGCCCTCGATGGCCCTTGACTCCCTGTCTGTGTCTTCCCTCCTGTCTGGGGATTTAGACGATGAAGGAGATGGTGGAAGAGGAGAGGAAGACCTTGGAGACCTAGAAGTGAACCCATATGATGGTTTGCCCTTTTCTTCACGCTACTACGCCCTGCTGGAGGAGAGGCAGCGGTTTCCTGTATGGAGGCTCAAGCAGAGTCTGCTGGAACACCTGGAGAGCCACAACATGGTGCTGCTCAGTGCACCCAGTGGCACTGGAAAGAGCACCCAGGTAACCAGGAACCAACAGAGCTACAAACCAAATCACATGTAAATCTTTTCTATACCAGGACCAAGTCCTAATTTCAAGCCTTGGTTCAAAATAGTAGTTTGTCCAACACCTTACTTTACTGAGGAAATGATCCGTGTCTCTTAACAGAAACTGCTGCAGCTATTACAACTATAAACAGAGTGTCAAATTAACCAAATAAATCTGTCAATGTGTGACCAAAACATCAGTGAATATTAGACCAACTCCGCTGCAGACACAACTCAGTCAGTGCTACTGTGGCTGAGAGAGCTCAAGCAAATAGAGACAGCCTGTTCACCACTGACAACACGTTCATGTTGATGAAGCTGCTAATAAATAAAACACACAACACTTTCAGCAACAGCATTTCCCTAGTTGATAAGTTGTTCTTCAGACTTCGGTGTGTTCATGTGTTTTTAGTCAGAATGTAAAACAACATGGAAGCTACAGAGAAGATGTTCTCTCTACTCAGAGCATTAAAACAACATGTTGGCGCTGAAACCAGCTGACACTAGACTGAGACCAGCTTTGATTAAATATTTATTCAATGTCCAATATGAGTAATGTTTATTTTCTCTATTCATCTAAGGAGTTTACTTCAGTATCTTGTTCATTTATGAACATGAAGCATGTCCTCACCCACAGTGCTGGCAACCATGTGGATAAAAACATGGAAATGTGTGATGGTTGTGGATACAGTCTGCATCACACAATGTGTGAATTTAATGATGATGTTTCAAAGACAATACAACACTTACAAATGACTACATGAGGAGGAGTGAGGAGGTCTCAAAGCCACATATAATTTCTCACCCCTCTCTGTACCTCTGATGATCTATTCAGCCACCAGATGACCTCTGGTAACATGATGTATAATGTTCATTCTTTTGATTTTATGGCATATGTTCTGTGTGCTTCAATCTCAGCTCTCTTCAGTCCTCTACCTGTCGAGCAGCAGACTGTCAGAAAGCAGCTGCTGAACATAGTGGAGCATTTAGATAGCTAGATAGATAGATAGATAGTTACATGCATTATTTATCCCCTAGCTAAAGAGCCAGATATTTCCCTGGAGACCAAACGCAGAGCTAAAAATGCTTTCTCTTGTTGAACTACCCTGAACGTACACTTCAAGAAGAAATAGAATAAAAAGTAAGAAATGTCTAGAGATGTTTGGAAAAAGGTGCTTCACAGTCTTGTTAAAGTAGCATGTTACCTTAGGTTTTAAGGTTTAAGGTGTGCCTTTGAAGAAGTAAAAGGGTGTGTGTGATCACTCATGTTAGTGTCATATTACTTCTTCCTCGTCTTGTTGACCTCGTCCTCTCCCCCCTCCTCCCTGCAGGTGCCACAGTGGTGTGTGGAGTACGCTCTGTCCTACGAGTTCTCCCAGGGTCTGATCTGCTGCTCCCAGCCCTACTCTGTGGCAGCAGTGAGTCTGGCCCTCCGTGTGGCTGATGAGATGGACCTCAGTTTGGGTCTGGAGGTGGGCTACAGGGTATCTCACGATGACAGCTGCACACCTGACACCCTTCTCAGGTGAGGATGAGTGGACGATGAACACTGGATACACATTCAGTCATTTAGCTAATGACTCTCATTTTCAGTTGTACTATCACAGCCACCAACAGCAAGATGGTAATCTGTTTCTTCCTGTCAGTCATTCACTGGAAAGAAACTGAGCTGTTACCATGGATACCCCATTATGACTGAAAACTGAAATACATCATACTGAGACAGTCACTTCAACAAATATCCAAAGTACAAACACTGATGTTTTCAAACTGACAGTTGATCATAAATTTGATAGAGTATTACCACCTGTGGAGCAGGGAGTCGACTGGCTTAGCTTAGCACAAACAGCTAGCTGGACTCTCCACAGAGCTGGTTTTGCAGGAAATAAAAACTTGAGGTTTTAACAGTTGTACCAGTAGATGTTGAAGTGAGCTGAAATCCAAAACTTACATTTAAGAGTGTAATCCTTGGGGTCTCTGTCAGTGTTGTTTGCTTTCATTACCGGCCTGCAATGAATCTTGGGATAGGTTGGCCAAAGAAAAGGACGCATTTGAAGGAGAAAAACCACCTGGTCAATTGTAATCTTGTAACTTAACTGCTATAAATTTAAGCTAGCAATAAAGCTCATGAAAGTAGTTTAATGGAAAGACTACAATATGTAAGTTTCTCCAATCACAATGTCGTTGCTCACCTCCCCCATGGAGTACAG